TAAGTATAAACTTAATTAATTAAGAAAAAGCGATGCACCTTAATCAATGGGGTCTGAGACAGTCATTGATTCGGTAGCAATCGTATTTCTGAGCGGTACCTAATTTTTACACTACCTTTGCCCAGTGTTCGGTGAAGCATGCTCTACATAGCTTGGCATAAACTGGGTGGCAGGCTGTAAATTGAGCCGGACGAATTGGCGCCTGTGCGACAATAGCCCAAATTTTCATCAAAAGTGTGTTTTCGATATTTGTGAGCGGCTAGAGCTGATCTATCACTCGATCGGACTGAAGTCGGCTGCGATGTGATACCTCGCATATAGACGCTTTACACACGCGCCAAATTACAGCTGCCATTGCTGACCTTCCCTTGTCTTACCGAGATGCCGAGCAACTGAAACGGTAGTTGACGATCCTCTACAAAGGCCGATGCTTTAGAAAAGGACACAGTTGAATCTTGAATGGCAATAACCTGGCCCGCTATGGTAATGATGAAGTGAAATGAACGGAATAAGAGGAAACAAAAACTGAAGGTCAGTTATGGCGACGTCCTTGCACAGCTGCTGCAAAGCGTCTATAAGCTCTAACCAAGGACCCATTTCCCAGCAGGCAGAGGTTGAATTGAGCGGTTCGTCTGCTCTGGGCGCTCTCTGCGGCTTGATTCAATGTGTCGGTGTCTGCCTTTAAAATATACAGTAATATTGTCCTTATTTCTCGCAGACACAGAATGATAACAAGATAATTAAATCAAGTTATAAATTAAACATTTCTTTTTAGGCGATACTTAAGCTTGAAGGATCAGACCATCTATATTTAGTGTAATTTTTTTTTAATACATTCTTTGGAGCTTAGTATGTCATTAAACAAATATACGATTTATTCTGTGTTTCATGCACCCACTGTGTGAGTGCAGTATAATGTTTCTTATAAATACAATGTAGGCAAGGAAATACTCTTTTAAAGAAATTTTAAAAGGAAAGCGAACTTCAGAGAAAGCTGAGGCAAGAAAACCGTTATTCACCCGTTTGCCAACATTTTGTTCGATGGACAGTTTTACAGAAAATGTAGACTGCTTCGGTGAAACAAAGTTTGCCCCCCCCCCCCCCCCCCCCCCTCTCCCCTTACGCACACACACAAAAAAAAAAAAAATTTGGTACGCCCCTGCTTGCTTTTCATTGAACGGAAAAACGCCAAACACTCTACGGCTCTGCGAGTTGGATGGATGGATGGATGAATACGGCTGAGCCCTTTGGATCGGGCGGTAGCTTACGCCACCTAGCCATTTTGTTTTACCATTTAAGCTTAGAATATTTAAATGTGAAATCTATATTCACTCCGCAGTGCAAAGAAAGTGAGGCTATGAAACCCCCTTGCCATCAGTGAATAAGAAAATACCTAGTTTTCTCTCGATTTCTGCCACCATTCACTTAATCTTTGCTTGGTAATCTCTACAGTCTTGAAATCCACTCTCCCTTCGCTGTCTCTAAAACCCAATGACTTTATTAAATCTATGTTGTCTTCGGTAGGCATAGGGTGAAGCCCTTTGCAGTAGAGTATCAAGTGCTCAGCCGTCTCGAGTGCAGACTGATCCTGCCGCCATCTATGTTGTAGAAAGAGTACCAAGCTCAAACCGAAACTAACGCTTCTCTGTTCGACGTGATGGGTGGTAACCAGGGTATCGGAACAAAACGAAAACCAAAAACGAAAAACGAAAAAAACGATATTTTTGGGCGGAACGGAAACGTAATCGAAACGTTATTTATTATTTTGTTCCGGAGTGAAACCGAAAAATTTTCTTATCGGTTTTCGGTTCAAGGGAAAATATCAGGTATTTCAGTAATTCGTTTCACGCAGCGAAGAGACAGCCGTTGGTTTGTACAATAATTAAAGAGAAGACAAGCAAGCCATCGCTCCCGCGTCTAAACTCCGGGCGAGCAAGCATAGCAAATACAAAGACAAAAAATACAACGAGAAACAAAAAAACATCACGCAAGGCGCCATTGCTTCCCACCAACGAGAGCGCGGTGGCGCGACGCCTCCACACGCTCGCAATGCTCTCCTTGGCTCTTGCACCCTCTTCCTCCATGCTTTCTTCTGACGACACAGACAGACAACAGATCACGGCAAGCGCGGGAAGTTTGTGACCCGGCGTTGTAGAAGTCTATCTTTTGTTTTTCTACGGATACGGCAGTCTTAGACTCTGTTGCAAAAGTGTACTTCATCCCTATGGGCCTTCAGGGCCTTCTCGGCGCTGAAATTTATTTTATCGGACCAGAGGTCTTGCCTTTCACCGAGCACACTTGATGACGTGCTGCTTCTGAGATCATGCTCGGTGCCTTGATCATGATCTCATTCTCAAGGCAATGAACATGATATCAGAAGCAATGTCGTTTCCGCGGATTCCTCTAGAGCGCCTGAATTATCTATTTTTGTGCAAAAATAAATGTTACGTTCCTTTTAATTTTTGTTGCGATTTTTTTTCATAGAAAGAAACCGTTACGAACCGTTACGGAACATTTATTATTCGTTCCGGAGCGGAAACGGAACGGAACTTTTTTGAACGGAACGAAAATGAAAACGGAACGAAAAACATTTCGTTCCAACACCCTGGTGGTAACACAGATTGTAGTCGCTGCCGACGTTTATCTATAAACGTTGGCCTCTGCAACCTGTAGTTTATATTTGCGATGACTTCAAGCAACTCGGCTGTCGTAGAAATATTTACAGACGGCGTAAATTTCCGCAACCAGCTGACTACAAACTGGTTGTGATCTTTCAATTCGTATAACCGTTTACACTGGAGAAAACTGATGATGCTGTCCGGGCAGAAGCTTGATCTGTTTGAGCATGGTATTACGCGTGAACCACTGAAAGGGTACCGCTTAAAACTAGACTGTTCGAATATCCAACAAAACGTTTCGTGGGACTTTTGATTTCGACCGTCGTTACGGATCAGATTTTAGCAGTCATGGGTAAGTTACTTTTAAAAGGTAATTCGTTACAGTTACAGTTACTTTCAGAGAAAAGTAGCGAAGTTACCGTTACAGTTACCGCAACAAAAGAGTAACTCGTTACAGTTACTTTCAAAAACTAACGACGTTACTTTTCAGTTACTTTTCTTAACACAAAAATTAAGGAAAAACTAGTTTTTGAAAGAAAAAAAAATATATTGACACGAATCGGTCGGGCTTCCACCATAGCGGTAAATTTAAACTTAATAATTTAGCTGGAAAATTAGTCAATATTGTGAAAAGACCAACATTCAACTGGATGTGTTCTCACATTTGAACACGAAGACTAGCTTGTTGTCGGAGTACTCCTTGTTGCAAAGTTTGCATACTGTGGTCAAAAAGCTAGCAACCACCTTCACCACAGAAAACTACTCTGTACACCGGCCATGCTAGTTCTTTGTTCTCATCAACATCCCTATCATTGGTAGCACTAGCACATCGCTGGCTCGTTGACGGTTCCGCTGGGTTATGGACTCTTTTGATATATTTCAGTTTGTACCCGCAAATCAGAAACAAGCCCTGCGCAAACAGCAGTAAATTTTGCCTCCACCGTTGAAACCACGCCGTAGTGGCGCAAATTAAAATATAAAACATGCGCAGTGCGGAGTAGTGGCGCTAATCAAAATACGAAACATACGAAGTTCCTTCCGCGTGTATTGTTGTTTCAGGGTTAATTCACCCGATTAAAAAGCGTGCGCAGAAAAAAGAAAAACCGCAACAGAGATAGTGCTTCAATATACTAAGATGTAAGTGTTCAGTCACAAAGTACAAGCAAGTTCGTAAAGATAACTACATTCTTCTTTTTCTTTTTTTCATCAAATCTACACGTGGCTATATTCGGATAGTGACTCGCGAGAAAGAATGTATTCTCAAGTTTGTGCAAGGCCAACTGAGACTCAAAATGCCGGAACAGACAATTTGGAAAGAGCAGGGAATAGCTTGATTATACTCGTTCAATGATATATTATTCACAAAGAACTGAAAATTAACGACAAAAGCAACGTCGTCGTTACCTCAAAAAAGTAATAGAACTAGTTACAATTAAGTTACATTCTTAAAAAGTAACTCGTTACAGTTACAGGTTACCGAAAAAGTAACGAAGTTACAGTAACTCGTTACAGTTACAGGTTACCGAAAAAGTAACGAAGTTACAGTAACGCATTACTACCCAAGACTGGATTTTAGTCTTGGTGAGGGCGTCGAGAACGAGAGTTTTTTTGAACAAAATACGACGGGGCAAGATAGCTGACGGAGGTAAATGTTAAACATGATGATGTTGCCCAAGCATCGGGTAGTCAATATGATTAACTTTCTCGGGTGCGTATTGGGCAGTCACAGGTTTCTGCTAAGGGAGCTTTGTCGACCAATGTTCCAATTTTTCACCTGCACACGGATGGTAATAAAGATCTCGCGGCACCTCGGCATGCCAACTGCCAAAGAAGCTTTCATCGCGCCGCAAGACCGGCGAAACTTGCTTCCAACGAGCTGTACTTTTTTCTTGCGGGACTGCGCTTCGTAAAAATTTACACGTATTCTCAACGGGAAGTATCGCCGCTTAGATATGCTTTAAAAAAAAACTTCTTTGGTGAATTACGACAAACGAGCAGGAAACGTGTCTTCGCCACGCTGCAGCCAGGCTCTGCAACGCTAGCATAAAAGCGATTTTGCCACATGCAAGATGGCCGTCCGGTGGCCTCACTCGCGTCGTCTGTTTTCTGAACAAATTCATAAAAAGCGTCACATAACGCCAAAGGATTTTCCGCGTGTCTTTGGTTTATATAATTCTTTCAAAATAACACAGGAAATGAAAAAAAAAAAAAAAGAAACACACTTTACTTGCTAGTTTGTTTTATTATTTCCTCTTTGAGATTGCATTTGAAACATGCGAATAAATTTTTAGAATTAAATTTTTTATGCTAAAAATTTTATTTATTAAGCTTTAAACGTTATAATATAATTTAATTTATATTTTTCATACAATAAACGCCGGCAACACCGCGGAGCAGCTTTTTCTGCGTTCCCAGCGTCGCGACATGACAGTCGTTCGTGCGTCGTCGCCATGGTATCGTTGTCATGTTGATGCGGTCGCTTCCTAGATGTAGCAATGTCCAAGAAAAATGTGATGTATTTTTGGGACCCGGACGTAGGAAATTTCCACTATGGTACGTGCACACCCTAGGCTTGTTTACAGCTTCATAGAGGAGCGCTAGATGCCACTTATCGCTAAAACAAACAAAAACAGAAAACGCAAAACCTATCCCCTTTTGCCGTTCTCCAAGGCACTGACATTTGTTTACGATTGCATTTGTCGCTGTGTTTTTTTCAGGTCCGGGTCACCCGATGAAGCCTCAACGCCTCTCAGTAACCCACAGCTTAGTTCTACATTATGGATTATATAAGAAAATGCAGGCAAGTCAACTTTCTTCCTGTCGGCGCTTTTTTGTGTTGTGGTTGCTTCGACTGATTACAACACAACTGTACTACGAGTTCCAAGATCACATCACGTACGTTTCGGTAGACCTACGCCAACTGGTGTAACCTAGGTTACGTTAGCATGACGCTAGGTACAGAATGCCTGCATGGTTTCAGAGAAAGACTGCTGTCATTACACGTTGTTAAATGAAATTCTAGGTCTTAAAGTGGTGGTTGCTTTAATAATGGCCCTTCTAGATCCTGAGATTCATATAATCGGAGGTAGTTGGGTACAACAGTAGCGATAAAAGGGCAGCCCTTTGATTTTAATCCGCATAATACTGCCGTGGTTATAACAGTCATGTCTGGTCCAGTTTATGAGCTTTTTCATAATTGTCACATCTATATTTAATTATGACCATAGTAGAGAATGGCTTTCACGTGGTTTTCTAATGAAGAATTGCCTTGTACTATTTCAATAAAAATGTAGCAAAATAAACGCGTGATAATGTGGAACCTTTATTTTTTTTTTTTTATTATTTATAATGTTGATGACAGGAAAGGTGTAGTAAAGACACGTGTCTCACGAAAGCAGACAGTGCAACGCTTGCTTTACGTTGTCAGATTTTTGAGACCTTACATGTCATGTCCACCATGCCAAAATGACTTTCCTTAAAGGGGGTCAGGACACGAAAATTAAACGGGTATGTTATTCTTGAAATGGAATTTGCATAGGCTACTTAATGTATACACAGAGTTTCACAATTTTTAGAGCTCTCGTAATTGCAATAACCGCTTTACGAATGTTGATCGTATTCGTCAAGTGACCGGGCAACACTGTTCGAGTGAGTCGCACCACGGCGTCCATAAACCATGTGATCGTCATATTTAGTTGAATGCTCTCTCATTCATGCTCGCCTCGCCGCAGTATGATCGCACGCTATTCTGTGTACTCTCACTTTCGTCCCCTTGCCCTTTAACCTTCCACCCCACATGCACGTGCGAGATAATCGCGGATGATGGGGAGTTCGTCCGTGACGATTTTGTCATCGTCGCTGGAGCTGGTAGCCAGCATGTTGAAGTCAAAATGACCAGCTTCCAACGTCTTTTGATAACAATCACTCTCATTGCTGTTGCAATCAGTGTTCAAAACTCGGACAAAGCGAGCGATGTTGTAGTCATCTCGAAATTGCATGCTCGAAACGCGGAAGGTGAACGAGAAAGCCGAAGCTCGAGACGTTGAGGGAGGAATGTCTGGGAGTGCATGCAAGGGGACGCCACGCGTTAAGCGAATGACGTCAACGACCCAACAAACATGGCGGCATTTTTGAACGGGGAGGGTCCCGCGTATAAATGGATTTATCCACAAAACTATCGCACCATTTGCAAAACAAATTTACGAGAAATAAAGGAACCTACAATGGGTCTTAGGAGTATAGTTATCTCATATTGTATTTTTGGCATGTTCTTAAACCCTTCTAACCCCGCAGGTATTTCGCCCGTACCGAGCAAACTCGCACGACATGTGCCGCTTCCATTCCGAGGAGTATATCGATTTCCTGGAGCGAGTCACTCCCCAGAACATCCAGACCTTCACCAAGAGCCTCAGTCACTTCAACGTCGGTGATGACTGGTGAGTCGTGGCCCAGGGGGCAAGCAACGCAAGGCGTGTCAAATTTTCTTCACCGTCGATCTACATGGATCCCTTTTTTCTTCAACAGTCCAGTTTTTGATGGACTCTACGACTTCTGTTCCATGTACACGGGGGCTTCCTTGGAAGGAGCCGTCAAACTCAACAACGAGGTGAGTGTGCCTCTTGCAGTGTGTGGTTCTGTGCTTAAACCACACGACACATAGACAAACTAACAGTGCCAGGGTTATTCGTGCGCAGTGCTTATGCGTGTGTTGGTTTCAGGATCACACTGTCAATACATTCCCTTTTCAGGTGCTCCATCAGGATCCGTTTAGGTATAAGTGTGTTTTGAGTTTAGTTCAGGATGGTTTCCAGCATTGCACGGACCTATACGTTACTGCACTCAGCCTATTCTTTCTATAGCCTCGTGTAGCGGCCGCAATCTTCTTGGTTGTTTTACAGACCTAACAACTGCGAAAGGGCCATGCACGCTTACACTCTTTTGATTTCTGACCGTATTTGGTCAACCCACCTCAAAGCAACGTTGCGTTTAACGGTTAGCTGACATGTCGTGAATCCAAAGCTGAGCCAGGTACAGTAAAATAGATGGTCTACTTTACTGGCTTCTCAAACAGCTCCTTTTACTTCTCACAATAACGTAAGGCTTCAAGGTTCATTCCAGCACCGGTAATTTTAAGGGTTTCAGTCGTCTCCACACGAGGTTAAAGAACCCCTCGTCAGCACACTTCTTGCACGTGGTGAATAGATCATGCCTTTTTTTTATTTATCTGCAATGTCTGAAGATGCTGAAGTCGCGTAGAGGTCGATTAAACGAAGAAGACAATGAAAGACACACGGCTTAGTCAACTGCGCCATAGTTACCGAGAGAGTAAAAACGGCAAGGCACGTCTTTCGAATGCCCTGCCTCCGGCATGCGCTCCAAGTCTTCCACCGTGCCTCGGCTGCACACTCGCGCTCACTGTGCACGGTACGCCGAAGTGCCGTCGAAGGTAGAAAGCTCTCGCCGGAAGTGGGACGGCCGAGCCGAACGCCGACTCAGCATTCAGACACATCGGACAAGCTTTGCGTCGTCGTCGTCAACCCCGTAGGTATAGTTCTGAAGTTGGCTGCTGCTTTTACCGCAGTGCTGCGACATTGCCATCAACTGGTCGGGCGGCCTGCACCACGCCAAGAAGTTCGAGGCGTCCGGGTTCTGCTACGTCAACGACATCGTCATCGCCATCCTGGAGCTGCTCAAGTACCACCCGCGGGTTCTGTACATCGACATCGACATCCACCACGGGGACGGGGTGCAGGAGGCCTTCTACCTGACGGACCGCGTCATGACCGTGTCCTTCCACAAGTACGGCAACTACTTCTTCCCCGGCACGGGCGACATGTACGAGCTGGGGGCCGAGAGCGGCCGCTACTACTCCGTCAACGTGCCCCTCAAGGAGGGCATCGACGACGCCAGCTACTTCCAGGTGAGCCTGGCCGTGTCCGCCCACGAGTGAACGCAGCTTTCAGGGAAGTTACCACGTTCAGCTGCGTGCAGAGTGAACCTTATTCCTGTAAGCCCCTGCACACGCGTGCACCTCCTCCCCCGATCCTCACTTCCCGCAGTCGCCACAATCGGAGGGCACCGTCTTGCCCAGCCAATGTTGTCAGCACCCACCTTCGTGCGTATTTCGTCTTTATAGCGAAGCTGTATATGGCTTGTTGGTCAGATTTCTTGGTGCCGGCGTCCTCACGAAAAAAATACCTTCAGCAATTGAAGCGAAAACTGTGTATCTCACATACAACATACAGCACAGCATTCGTTTCAATAAAAAAACAAGCACAGAACAAGCATCTGAACCACGTAATTGGTGAGGCCTCATTCACACAGCCGGCGGCTCTCCCATCCCGGCACCGTCACGAGAGCACGCCGGGGCGGGGACGTGACGGCAGGGTGTCCGAACAGGCCGCGCAAGCAAAGCGACGGAGGCCGCGGCGGCAGGATTGGATCGGATCGGATTGCTTATTTATTCAACTTAAATTGTCAAGCTACACAATGTAGCTTTTTTTCCTGTCTCCTTCTCCAAACTGGAGTCAATAAAGTTGAATTGAAATTGAAAGTGAAATTACAAAATAAAGATATAATTGTGCCTGAACATTTGTGTGCACGTTTCTTTTTTTTGTAAATTAAGGATTTGCGTCTGCTATTAGCAATTCCCGCCAAAAAGGAACAAGAAAAACAACACAACAAGCGTTGACTCACTGTTGGCAACCTAACGATGAAAAATCTTCCAAACTTAGTGAAACTTTTCTATTTTGTGATTGGTCGGTTTTTGATGGGGGCGGGATCCGTCATCCGCTGGGACGTCGGTGCCGTAGAGCAGCTCCCTACGTCGCCCGGCACCCGACGGGGCGCAGCTTTCCGGCGAAAACGGGGCCGAAAATCCTCTCCCCTGACGGGACCGCCCCTCGCGACGGTGACGGGATGGGAGAAACGACGGCTGTGTGAATTAGGCCTGATAAGGCGCTTTTGATAACAATGCGAGGCACGTAGCGCTCGAATTGGAACCATATGTCTAATTTCACCATTTAAAAAGTTACTTAGTCATTTTTAGTCAATTAGCAAACTAATTAGTAAGTATATCAGACACTTTCTGACGTCTGCTACCAGGTGTAATGCAATTCCAAGAAAACTATTCTTTTACCTCGAATACACTAATTTTAGGAATTTTGTCACTTTACGTGAAACAGCCTGTATGTAAAAAGTTTTAGTACAGTGCATTTACTTTTCTTTCGTCAGTCATTTGGTATAGTGCAGTGGGCAATCGTTGCAAGGGATACCACAACTTCGCCGTCCACCCTCCCTCACAGCGTGGATTGCAGACCCGACTTTTTCACCGATTATTTTTTGACCATCGGTAGTGTGGAGCATATTGGCGGGGAGATAGAACTATAGGGGGAACAGTTTCATTATCATCATCACCAGAAACTATCGCTGTGTGGCAGACAACTCCGACGCTGGGGGGGGGGGGCTGGGGGCTGGCTGCTGCGGCCGCTTCACGAGTGTGTGCACTTGACCGCTGGTCGCAACCTCAAAAGTAGCAAAATGGGGCCGTCCATGCCAGTACACTGCAAATGAACTGAGGGAGCAAAAGAACAACGTTCATGCTTTCACATTCACAACTCATAAGAAGTGCTTAGGTGTCCACGGAGTTTTTTTTTTTGTAGAGATGGCTGGCTGGCTCTACTATGTTGTTGTGTGTGGCCCCATTGTTGGCAGTGTTTGTGCAAGCTTAAAAAAATTGATGTGCGTCATTTTTTTGTCACAATGTGGGGGACAATCTGGATTTATTTCATTGGTTTTTGTCTTTGTATCCAGTATTTGTTTTACTACTTATCGATTTTTATGTTTCATTTGTCACAATCAAGTAGTTTTCGTCCTCTGTCAGTTATTCATTTTGTGTGGGCATGCTGGATGGTCTGGCCGTGAAGGGAAGGGGGGGGGGAGGGGGAGGGAGGGAGAGGGGGAGGGAGGGGGAGGCTGCTGGCCTTCTCAGGCATGTCGATGCCTTTTGTGGCAGCCCCCCAGAAAAGCTATATTAAGACTAACGCCAGATTTATAAACAGGAAATCGAGCACTATAAACAATGCAAATCTAATTTAGTTATTTTCAATAATAATAAACCTTTTCTCCTGGCTTAAGTTCCCTTACTTTCCACTATATATGGTTAATCAATATCATATGAATTAGCCTTAGATCCCCTGAAGGAGGAATTAGAATATCCGAGGTCTACCTTTGCCTCTGTGACAGAGCGAGATCGATGTTGGCCCACTTGGGACAAGCTGAGATATCATTGGCAGATGTGTTGTCTGCTCATGTGGACAAAGAACAGGTGTTTGTCTCCTGAGAACTCTCAAAACCACCTGCATGTCACGTCTGACATTGATGCAGAACTCCAAGTATCTTGGGAGTAATGAGCCATCTGATGCATATATTGTTTAATAAGAATAATAGAATCCATAAGGTGCTAGTTTTCTGACCACAAGAACATTGAAAACACATTGATCCGGGGAATGAAACAACTCAAGCGACCTTCAAGGACTCCGTCTTCCCGTCTCTTCATGCCAGTCTTTTAGTTTCGGTTTGCCTTTGTTCAGCTCCACGGCGAGAGACATATCTGGACAGCATTTTATAGCGGTTTGTGTGAAAAACTATTATTATATTTTGGGGGGAGTTTAACCGATTTAACCGATGTGCAGGTCTTCAAGCCGGTGATTCAAGGGGTGATGGAGTTCTTCCAGCCGAGCTGCATCGTGCTCCAGTGCGGGGCGGACTCCCTGGCGGGGGACCGGCTGGGCTGCTTCAACCTGAGCATCCGCGGCCACGGGGAGTGTGTGCGCTTCATCCGAGAGCTGGGCCTGCCCCTGCTGGTGCTGGGTGGGGGAGGGTACACGGTGCGCAACGTGGCGCGCGCCTGGACCTACGAGACGGCCCTGCTCGTGGACGAGCCCGTCAGCTCCGAGATCCCCTACAACGAGTACTTTGAGTACTTTGCGCCGGACTTCACACTGCACCCTGAAGTGGTCACCCGGCAGGTGGGTGCGGCTACGGCAGCTACAACGCATACCGTCTCCCTTGCCTCGTGCGGTTTTCAAGGGGCACTGAAGTGCTTTCCGAGATCTTCGTTTTGTGGTCGTAACTCGATCTACCAGCTCCAAGCGTCCTAAAATACCCAGAATTATGTTCATGCATATTTGAAAAAAGTTATCAAAGATTGCGACACTTACCGTTGTCGCAGGACGGATGGTTCTACCAAACCTTGCCGAATATTGTTGAACGGCGGACTGCGCTTGGCAGCCTCTTGCGAGCGATTGGTTTCTATGGGAACCAATGGCATGGTTGCCATGGGAACCATGGCAACCGCTTGTGAGTGGCTGACTGGCGCCGTCTGTCATTCGACCATATTCAGCGAGGTTCAGTAGCGCCATCCGTTTTTCTGCGTCAACGGGAAGTGTCGAGATCTTTGATCGTCTTTTTAATGTGCAAATCGATCGTGAATGAATGTAGTGTCAGGTTTTTTAAGATGCTTAACGCTCGTATATTGAGTTATGACCATAAAATGAGGGCCTTAAAAAGCACTACAGTGTCCCTTTACTGGCGTTGAATTAGATTTAAACTTGTTAGCACATCAAAAAAAAAGAAAAAAATTTCTTGCACATTATTTGTGCCTTGAGCAAAATAGTTCTTACGAGATTCGGTTGTTGAAGGAAGGAAGACACAATGCTCTTGGCATTTGAAAAGTGTACACCTTGATAAAATAATGTAAAGTGCACCCGCATAATCTTCATTTAATACATTAAAGAGAAAATTAGCAACATTCCACGAGGTGCCAGACATTTTCTTTACTGCTGGTCTCGAGGTGAGTGCAAGTGCAGACTTAAAGCTTTGCAAGCGTAAAGGAGCATTCGCACAGGGGAGGGATGTGCATCATGTGGCAACAACGTTGCATTTCTTGTGCGGTGCTGCGCCGACGTGGTTATCCCGGGGGGATGGGGAAGTTTTTGCCCAGGCTGGGCATCTTTGCAATTGGTGGTGTTTTGTTTGGGTGTCTGGCAACTTTGCAGATTTTGTACAGCAAGATATTGGCGGTGGCATTGGTATTGCCTAACCAGTGCCTCCTGTATAAGTTACACTATGCCTGTCAGCTCCAAGCACTGGCAAGTGGAAGGGAGAGGGCAAATAGTATGTGTGGTTGCCGTGCGGTGGAGCCATCTAGGCGTACAAACCTGCTGTGTTGTGAAGCCAACCACCTCTTCCGCAGGAGGTTCAATGATGTCGCCCCAGCAGCGCCGAGAGCAAGAAATCTAGATATTTTTTACTGATAGCTCGGGACCGGCTCGCCGTTTTCAACGGAAGATTTCTTCTTATTTTTCTACCTTTTCATGCGCACACCACTCGGCGCTAACTATTTCTATGCGCGCAATTCAAGATGACCGGCTAAGCGTTCTCCGCATTCGCGCTGCAAATGTGAAGCCTGGCCGTGCTCGTTTCATAGTTTTTGTCTCAGTGATACTCGTTTGAATCAGGGCGGGCACATCCAGAACAGTGTTCCATATGTTGTTTAAAAAATATATATATCTTCAATAATGCTGTAAATAAAACATGCTAGAAAAATTAAAAAAGGAATGTCCGCCAGGCGGCGCTAGCCGTACATGCGTGTCAGCGCGGAGTAGGTAGACTGGCTTTGGGGGCACATTGCAAAACGCCAAACCAGGGAGTACAAGGAGACATGGGATGGGCATCATTTGAGAGCAGGGAAGCGGTGAGCAAGGTAGAATTTGAGGATAGGTTGAGGCAAATGGACGGGGAGCAATGGGCACGAAAGGTTTTCAGCTATTTATACATGAGGAGTGTAGACACAAAGTGGAGACAGCGCACTAGGAAATTAAGAGGAAAGTTTTTGGGCTATAGCGAAGATACGGAAGAGCAAGTCTCAGTTAAGAAGAAAGTTAAGGCCACAGAAAGAGATCGGTGGCTAGAGGGAATGCAGAGAAAGACGGCTCTGGAAAGCTATAGATTAAACGAAAGAGTTATTGCCAAAGAAAGCATTTATGACAATTCTAGGGGAAGCTCATTGCTGTTTGAGGCAAGAACGGGTGTTCTACGAACCAGAACATACAGAGTGAAGTACCAGGAAATTGATACAGTTTGCACTTTTTGTGGAGAGGAGGACGAGACGGCTGAGCACTTGATACTCTACTGTAAAGGGCTTCACCCTATGCCTACCGAAGACAACATAGATTTAATAAAGTCATTGGGTTTTAGAGACAGTGAAGGGAGAGTGGATTTCAAGACTGTAGAGATTACCAAGCAAAGATTAAGTGAATGGTGGCAGAAATCGAGAGAAAACTAGGTATTTTCTTATCCACTGATGGCAAGGGGGTTTCATAGCCTCACTTTCTTTGCACTGCATGCGGAGTGAATATAGATTTCACATTTAAATATTCTAAGCTTAAATGGTAAAACAAAATGGCTAGGTGGCGTAAGCTACCGCCCGATCCAAAGGGCTCAGCCGTATTCATCCATCCATCCATGTTCTGAGGTGGCTTGTGGTTTGTTATTCGAGGCACCCGAAGGAGCCTTCGATATTCATTCATGCCGTCCTCGAGCTGTTTTTTTTTTTTTTTTTTTATTCCACGTCCTTTGTGTTGCAGAAGCATCTTTCTTTTAGCAGGGAGCAGCTCGTAGTGTTCTGTATTTTACGGCACTGCTGCCATAATCGCGCATCGCCATTCGTCGGCGTGCAGCGAGCCCAGTCGTCGAGAATGCGACCGCCAAGTGTGTCCGATCACAGACGTTCCTCTCGGCTCCTCGCCGTTCACGTGAATGCTGAGGTTCGGGGAGGGAATCCCGCCCGCTCTGTCGATCACAGACGTCACGCACACCCCTCCCCGAAAAGCACCCTTGTGTGAATACCCCTTTACAACGCGGGCCCAAACGATCTTGACCTATACTCGGCGTTAACCATCTTGCGCTACGTTGTCGAGCCCAGTGTAAATCCAGTCCCGCACAGCTACGAGAGCACGTGACTTTGCCTTGCGTCTCGGTCGCACATCCTTGAGGGAGATGCCAAACAAAGCCACGCGCACGTAGCTTCGACGGCGTAGCGCAAAACGGCGGACGCCGAGCCTAACTTTCTGCAAGTCACGAGTGACCGCTCTTTCCCTCGGGCCCAGGAGAACGCCAACAGCAAGCAGTACCTGGAAACCATTGTGCGAGCCGTTTCGGAGAACCTCAAGTGTCTGGTGCACGCCCCCAGCGTCCAGATGCACCACGTGCCGCCGGACATGCTGCCGTGCGCGCGCAAGCCCGGCTCACCCACATCGGCCGTGCCCACCCCGGTCGAACCGGCGCTGTCCACGACGCCACCCGCCACCGCCGCCGCCACTGTCGCCGAGGCCTGAGGCCCGCTTGCTCGAGGGGACGTCTCCCGCCGAGTGACTTCCACCGCCGCTAAAAACTCATCCATCGCCAGTAATAAAATCAAGACGACCAAATGTTCTCGTGATTGGTGGCCATCCCGCGTGGGGCAAGCTAGCAGTTCGCTTACAGGTGCCAAGAGCGCGTCACCCATGCATTGAAAGTGGTTCCTGGGGACCACTTCTTGGGGCGCAGTAGACATGCGGGTCGGATAATACGCATTCTTGGCACCGTAGTTTAGCAAATGAAATGCTGTGGTCACTGACAAGGTGAGAAAGGCTGGGAGTTTTTTTTTTTTTCAAACGCATGGTGCATGCTTGCGAAACTTGGAATGAGCGAATAGACCTCATTGCTCATGCCTGCGAAAGTTTACAGCCGCACAGGGTGTCAATCAAGAAAAGCGGCCAGTCCTTTTGCACCACAAAAAATACCTTATGCTCGGCAGCAGACTGTCGACGGCCCAAGCAGATGTCTGCCCATTGGTGCTTGTATCAGCTACTGCCATCATCAAGGAGATACAGAGAGATGCAGTGGAAGATGGGCACACTTATTCTGCTGTCTGGCCAGCTTTTTTTTCCTCTTTATTGCTCCCAACTTTTGTTTTTGCAGAACTGCCACAGTGTCAACTGCTGGTGCTACGTTCTGGAACTTTACAGTGCATAGTTTATTTATTCCCTCCCGCCAGACCCCATAGGATGTTTTACTCCAGGCGCTACCAAAGGGTGAGGTGAATTAAAGTGCAGCACAAATTCTATCAACTAACAGCACTGCCACGCAGGCTTGAGCAAAAAAAGAATGGCAGATCGTTTCCGGCAACCACGACGAACCGACAAACACACGTGGCATAATCGGGCGGTGGCAGTACTTGAGTGTGTTTGAATACAGTGTTACAAGGAGAGTGTCTTGGCACGTCCTGGTTTCCTAACGTCTGCATACCAATGGCACTCTGGATAACATCTTTAGCAGATAATTGTTGGTCTGAGAAGCAAACATCATCTCTCCAAGGGTCGCACAGATCGCCTTCCCGAGCGGAAGTCAAATTTGGGGGTTTTACGTGCAAAACCAACGACGGGCATCTGGCACGCCCCAGCGGAGGACTGAGGATTAATTTCGACCACCTGGGGATCTTTTGACGTGCAACCGAAAGCTCGGTTACACGGCGTCTTCTCCGCAATAAGCCTCCGTCAGATTGCGGGCACCTCGGCCGGGATTTGAACCCGCCACATGGGGATCCGTAGGCCGACGCTCTCGCCTCGGAGCCACCGAGGCGGCTTGCCTTCCCGAGCGGAGACTACTTGCGCAGCAAATCGCACCCCAATGAAATCGACAGCCATGTTCACTTCTCGGTGAACGTTACCCATTAGTTTCAACCCCTCCTTCAGTGTTGCACAGTATGTTACCATAGACAGAGTGATTGTGTTTGCAACACATTGCTAAAGGGCCTCCAAAACCCCAAAGTTTGCGCTCGCAACATTGTCGGCGAGCACCTTGAAATCTTGGAACTCCGAGGACGAAACGACATCACTACGCCTCGAAATCTTAGAACTCAAGGTCATTGTGGTTCCTGAACGCAAGAAACGGGTTTGAAAGGAAATGCACCACTCTCTACAACAAGAAATGGCAGGCTCCCACCCCCGCTGCAGCAGAGCTTTGTCGCATTCTTTCTTTTTACAAGTCGGAGCCATCCCAACTACTCGAAAGCCCTAAAACTACTGGGTAACTAAAATTGCATTGAGTGTAAGTTTAGAGAACAGCAAGCTAGTCGGCCCCAGTGGTCGTTCAATGTCTCCTCTATAGACATTTAGCCAGTTCAGTACCATTGCTACCTTCGGTGTGTATCATGCAGTAGAGTTTACATGACTGCACGTTGGTACCACATCCAGGCTGAAATGGGCAGGGGTGGGATTGAATCCGGGACCTCTGGGTCCTGTAGTGGGAGCTTTCACCCCAAATCCTCCGAGCCACGTGGTATGTTAAAGGGATGCTGAAGCGGGTTTGTATTTGAGGAAACACTTAAATTGTCTTCAATTGGCCTCCAAGATCTCTAATATCAAGATCACTTTTCAATTTGGTGTGTGAAGGCTGCAGAAAATCATTTCCGAAGTACCGCCAACGCCCCTTGTTCCTGGAGCGTGACGACATAAAAGGAGTTCTCGGAACCTCTGCTCTCTCACACCTTCACCGCCTATCAAGGATATGCACGCGCACTCTTGCTACTTTCAGAAGCGTTAAAAGAAATGTCGCAAACGGTGTCAGTGCGGGGAGTATACCTGGCTAGCTTGCAATCGCACACGCTGCCCACACGAGCGGCATGCACTTGGCGGCTGTAAGATTGTCTTGCGACGTTTTCTCGCGTTTAGTTAGATCATCGGGGAAAACAAACGTGATATTCAGATTCACGAAATAAAACTACGCTCGAATCAAGCTCTATCTCATTTTCTGAAAGAAGTGTTTCACCTTCCCTTTAACGCACACTGCCACCAACCCCCTTTGGATAATCTACGCAAAGCTCAACGAGCTAACAGACACCCAGCCCCGACAGCACACAAACATGTCCAGGTGCCCCGCTAAGGCAAGACGGTCGGGGGGAGGGTTTCCGGCCAGAGACCGGCATCTTTATGTCACAAGCAGAGAGATTCAGCGGGAACGGCGGCACACACCTCACGGCTACTCCGGCCGCTCGCCGGAAGAAAGAGTTCCCCTCGCGCACGTGCCGGCTTCGAGCAGTCCGGCGTCAGTCCGTCGTCGAGGGGAAAGGGGCCGCCAGTAATAAATAGAGAAATGCAGGGGCAGGGTGGGAAGGGGTCGAGGGGGACGGTGTGCGGCAGCCATCACGGGTGACTAGACGAGTCCTCCTCGAGAATCTTCCGACCGTCCTTGAACCGGTGCTGGAACGGGTTGGCTGTGCTGCAGCAGGCCTGTTCCCGTCCAACTGCGGAACGGCAACAAAACGAAGGGATGTCGGTAAAACGCCGCTTACGCTACCGTATTTATACTACTCTAGCAATTTGCAGACCGAAAATACGAGCGTGGTTTTGCGCGTCCCCCTCACACAAGGCATGTAGACAGCCGATCCCCTTTTTCAGAAATTGCCGGTTTAAGGTGTTTAAGCAGAGGAAGTGCATGCACATGACGAGCGCTGAAAGAGCTCGCTTGGAAGCCAGTCGCAGTCGCCTGTGAGTTAGTAGAATGCAAACATTTTTTTTTTTTTCCCCTCCAGAACTATTAAACCATGATATTACAAAAGCTTGATTACTACCAATGAAATAAAGACACAATAGTGGTTTATCGTTTTATGGTACGTAAGAAGCTAGAATGACTTAAAGCTCATTCACATTGTACCATATGCTTATGTTGCGGAATGTCTGTTTACGTCGAGTTGCAACCACAAGTAACCAGCACGTCCGTCCTTAGTATGAAGCTTGGCAACCAATCAAGGAGTAGCTTTGCATGCAACATGCGAAGTATGGATGTTTCGGTGACTTGTGGTTGCATCATGATGCAATTTAAGAAATTGGATGCTAATGCGTCTATGTGAATGGGCCTCAAGGGCAAGAGACAGAAACAAAAATGTTATCAGAGTTCATGAACATTGCTTTATTGTTGCCAGATAAGGTTCTGCCAGCATCTGTTTTTGCATAACGTCCCAATTTGTGCAGCTACTTGTAATGTCATTCCAAGAATAAAACTGAGATAAGGTCACCATACTGCTCAGCCTAATGAACAAAAAATACTTTGACAAACTAAAAACCGGAACACGCTGGCCAAGTAAGAGTGAACGCAAAAGGTACGCCAAGGCCATTCACACAGCTCAACATCCGTGTCTGTCGTGTTTCACGCCCGCAAGGTTTCGCAGCTTTACGAGCTTTCACTTCTTACGCGAGAACTCTAATCTTAATTTGTCTTTCCAATCGCTTCTTTGCAAACACGACAGACCTTTCACTAATTTACCCAAGCTCAAAGAAGAATGTTGGCCATGTAGGTACACGCACTCGCTTTATCTGAAAAAGATTCAAAACAAATAATCAAAATAAGGCCTTCACAAATGCATGTGCGAAGTGCCATTTGTTTTAAGCTTTTGCTTTAAAACTATTACTGCTGCAGACACCAGCATGTGCACCACATGCAACTACTACTCGTGGCCTGCTTGCTGGAGCTTGGGTAATTTAGAAAAAGGTCTGTTGAAGCTGTGCATACAGGGAGGCGATGGCCAAGTGTATGCAAGTCTTTGTACCGATGTAGGCAACTAGTATACTCAGGTGATGGCCAAGTGTATGCAAGTCTTTGTACCGATGTAGGCAACTAGTATACTCACAGATGGCTTGCACGCTGCCAATACTGTCGTCTGTGGCTTTGGGGGACGGCAAGTCGGCGTCCACGTCTCCTGCGAGCATTGCCTCTAGCTGCTCTACAACCCCTTGAAAGGACGGCCTCGAAGATGGCTCCACCTGGGGAGGGACGGCATCGACGTCACCACACTGCTCACTGGGGCATACGCCAATAACGGTCCATACTTTTACGTCACCCCCTTCTAAGTGGCGTTAGATGTACTTGGGTGAGGCGCTATTCCACCCATCAAACATGTGCAAAACAGAAACATACAATTCTTACTTTTTTTTGTCTTCAAAACTAAAGAATTTGGCACGGGGAGACAAGTTGTGAATTTAAAACGTAAAGCTCCAGCTTTTCGGTGTAAATTCCAATGCAGGCCACTATTGAGGAAAACATACTCCAAGCATGAAACATTCTAGAAAAATGCCTTCGAAATGGAGACCGAGAAGAAGTAAAAAGAATTTATGTTATTGAAGAAAGGAAAGCTTTACCCTTATCTTCTACATGTGATCAAAATCATTAATTTCGTTTTTTTAGGGCCCAAGCAAACGAATCTTTAATGGGTTACTTCTGATGTTGCCTCTGTGCATGCTCAGTGGTAGCAGACATGGCTGTCCGCCACTTTTGGTGGCGCTTAAAAGACTATTGGTAGTCAGTTGTTATAAATGGGGAAGGGGAAGCTGAGCATTTTAATTTCTCCACGATTTTGTTCTGCCTTCATCTGCAACAATGATACAGACATACAGTTGCCGGTCGATTATCCGGACTTCGCAGGTACCGAAAAAACGTCCAAATAATAGAGCAGTCCAAAAAAATCAGCAGATTAAAAACCTTGCCTTTATTACGTCTAAGCAGGCTTAAAAATGCCATCAGTAGTGCCTCGCTTCAGGATACACCTCCGCCTGCATTCGGCCACTTTCTTTTAGCTTGAGAATCGCTTCCTTCTTTCCTAGCGGAACGGTGGAGTACTTTCCGCGCTTCTTGGCGACACTTCGCGACGGCGGAAGATGGGGCCAGACAGACAGCAAACAGCATCAAACCACCCTACACCTTCATGCTCGGCCTGGCTAAAACACACTTTCTATCAGCCTGGAAACAAGACGGGCACGCTTGAAACAGCCAAACTAGAGCCTAAAGCCACAGTCATGCCGCTAAAACATCATTCAAAAGACAGTCTGCAAGACACTGCCGGAGGCGTGCTTCGTCCTTGCGCGACGTTCCTGTCACATTCATCATACAAAAACTGTGTGCAGACGTGTTCGAAGCACATACACGTATGAAGCAAACATGCCCAAGATGCATCCGCAGACACTGTCATTACGTATGCAGCGAACGCCCAAGACTTTTGTACTACCTACGAGCCGCATGACAGCAGCTTAAGGCTACATGGTCGTTCAAAGCTGTTGCTTTATGAGTGCAGGCTGATAAACTAAGAGAGCAGCAAGGTTGGCTCACCACTATCTGTTTCATTGCTGCCTACTCTATCTGTTCACTTCAAGGCACGAAGCAGTGGAACAAGGCCGTTGCTCTGGCATAGCACCTCCAAGATAAAGGGACACTTTATTTATTTACGCAGTCTTTCAAAAGAAAAAAAGACTCGACAAGGATTGTGTCACCTGAAGATGAACTGTAATAAAATAGACCAGCCACGATGGCTTTCCTGCAGCCTGCAAATTCACATTTCTCCCCGAAACCATAGTGGACTGGAATGGCCTTCCTGAAGACGTCGTGACCATAAAAAACTCCACCTAACTTTGTGAAGCAATTTTTTTTTTTTTTAAATCCAACTTTTTAAATATAATGGCTTTGAGGGTATTGTAAATAAATAAATAAATTGGCAGCGAGCTATAGCTGACTTTTCTTGTCTGAAATTTTAAGTTGTACAAGCCAACATGCAAACAGTAACTTCTTTCCTTAGATGTAACAGTGTGTCTAACAGCAACTCCCACAAGCTGTTGACCTCATTGTAGACAAAAACAGGCTTTCTAGATTTACGGATGTACGACATATTAAAGCCTGAAAATACATTTTCACTATCAGTCATTAGTGAAGGTATAGTAACATCCTGTTAACATCATCACCCACCATGCACAACTTCCGTGTGACAGTGGACTTGCAATCCAGCATTTATTCCTTTTCGAGCCTCCACTATGCGTATTTACGAAATATATTGCAAATGGATACAAAATGAGCAAATAAAGTCCAATTTATCATCCCAGAATTTTCACGATGATGTCATTAAGTGTACGGAGAAGCACACAACTTAAATTGCATAGGAGGAGCGTTACCTGGACGTCGTATCTCGAACCGTAACATTCATCTCAAAGTACCGTAACTTGAATTAATGGCCACACAAAAAGTTACGAGGCAGAGCCTGGCACTCTTAATGCGTGCATTGCAACAGTGACTAGAAGAGGCCGTGGTTTTTGTACCTTTGAGAACAACATCACAGCAATCCACGGTAGCAAGTTTTCTCCGGGTACGAACCCACAAAAATGTGACCCTCATATCCTCACCCTGCAGATTTTAACTCTTTGTCACGCTCGCCAACTTGGTTCGATGAAGACCCTGGCACTAGCAGATGCTCTAACATTGAGATACACTGTTAAAAAACAGAAGAAGGGTGCAGCTACGACACCCGTCCAATACCACTCCGGGGAGCATCTAGCAACATACCAATGGCCAGAGCAACTGCAGCTGACACAAAGCGACTGCCCCCTCAATGCACAGACAGTTGAACGCTCCGAAAAGCGTGCATGCACAAACAGCAAAGGAATGTAACCACTTGCAATCGCATAGTGCACTCAGCTTGCTCACAAGCAAACTGAGGTGCAGGCCGGCCTATACAAAGTGGTCCACAATGGATCTTTTTCAAAAGTTGGCCCCACCCACCCTGACCAAAGCCAAAAGCACCGGTCTAAAAGCAGTTTCCCTGCATTACAAAGCTTAGGTGCTCTCATGCAGAGATACAACCGCAAGTCACTGGCACATCCGTGCTTCAGATTGTGCGTGCCAAGCCACTTTAAAGGGCAACTCCGCTTCATTTTTGGTTTTGAAAAAACAATGCAGTCCTCTTCAGGATAGCATAGGAAAACCACACGTCAAATATTACGACGCAGTTCTGTCTAAATGTTTCTTAAACGGTCCGGCAAACTTTGCAACTCGCCAAGTTGCCGAAATCGGCTGACTCGAGCGGGCGAATTCAGGCGCAACCAACAGCGCAGTCAAGGCTACGGCATGGGCGGAGCCAACATTGAGCTAAACGCCATCTACATGGCCCCCTTTTGCTTGTTTTTACTTCTCCGATCGAGCGTAGCGCGTGACGTCAGCAATGTTGCCTCTTGGCACTCAGCGGTGTCCACGTGATTGGCGTACGCGCCTGCGCAGCGCGCTTCTTGGAAGCAGACCAACCGCCCGCCGTGGTCCCGCCGTTACCGCCGTCTTCCGCGTCACAACCACCGTCGTCGTCTCACCGTTTGTGATTATTGCCTCTCGGAGTTTCGTCCACACTATGGACACCACGTGCGCAGAGTCGCAGACTTATGCCGCAGTTGTGCAGACGTCGTCGAATGCCGTGGACACGAAAACAGGCGAAGAGTGCGGTGCAGACGACACTCGCGCCTGCCGCACGCCCGCCACTCCCATCCCGCCCGTCGTTCGGCCGAAGATCACGTGACATCTCGTACCACGTGATGGCCATGTACTTGGCAGCCCGAGGCCGATGTTGCCGGACGGAGCCGGAGTTTCGGTTTCGATTTCCGCTCGTGTTTAAAATTAGATTTAAAAATATATATTCCATTTTTCGGGAGCAAACGACGTAGTGTGTTTTACTAGGGCTTTTTAATTCGAAATCACTCATTATCCCGAAATCTTCGGAATTGAGCGGAGTTGCCCTTTAAAGGCCCGTTCACAGACTTGCAACCGAGTACGACCTAAAGAGACGAGACCTGTTGAAACCTCTTAAAATTTCCTAGGATGAGAGAACATGCTGGTGCCATCTATGTGGTGACCCTGGAACTGCATTTCAGAAGAGCGAAGGTTTCGCGGGATTTCCGAGGTCAAATGTGCGCAATACCTGTGAGAAAGGCTTGTTTATAACATTAACGAAAGTTTTTCGAGTCAAGAAAGAAAGGATAATGCGCGAGAAAAATGGAAAATATGCCAGACCACCAAGTTAATACTGCTATACCCAATAGATGGTACCTGTGTGTCCTTGTCATAAGAAATATTAAGAGGTCTCGGTTCGAAGAGGTCACAAGTGTGTGAATGGGCCTTAACTGGTTGCAACACTCCGTACCAAAAGCGAATGTGCAGGAGATTCGAGGTCATATCTCAACAAAAACTTTGTAATGTAAGAGAGCGGGGCTGTGTGAACCAGTCCTCGATGGTGGCATTACGCAGCTTCTCCACACCAGGCAAAAGCAGAGGTCTTCGATAGCATAAAACAGAAAGCGGGAAATTGATTTCAACAAGTTGGGCTTTGTGCGTAGCCTTCGATTCACGAAGTCGAGAGTGCCTTATATGGGCGATTCATTTTATCCCCGTCGTTAGAGTGGAAATGGCAAATCTTTCAACACTGCCACTAGATGGCTCTAACTTTTGAAAAGGGTCAATTGGCAGATCGTCCCAAGCAATGACCAGGGGGTGCTACATGACAAATAATTGTTGTGTGTATGTTTAGACAGCCGGAAGCTAGCCAACCTCAATGGGCGCCTGGCGTCCCAGCTGTATTGAGGAATGTAGCCAGTGCGGCACAACCGCTAGCCTGGGATATCTAACGTGCACCACACCGTAGTGATACGCGACCGCACGCCGGGACGATGCCCGTCCCGATCGAAACGGGCAGGGGTGGGAGTTGATCCTACCTGACAGCACGAGAGTGCCAGGCGCAGGAAGGCGGGCGGACAGTCGTCGGGGCAGAGGCCGCGCAGGGCGAGCCAATCAACGCCAAAGTCGGCGGTACGCGGCAGCACGTCCGGGTCGGCGTCCAGCCGACCAATCAGCTCGATGAGGACGATCCCGTACGAGAAGACGTCGGCCCGCTGGTCGTACCAGGCCCCGTGAAGGCACTCGGGCGCCATCCAGTACGGCGACCCCACGACCGGCAGCCTCAGGTTGTGGTCTCCCGCCGAAGGGATGCGCTCGGCCAGGCCCAGGTCTCCGACGACGGCCGTGAGCGAGTCCTCGGACCGCTTGATGAGCACGTTCTTGGACGTCAGGTCCCGATGGAAGACTCCGCGCGAGTGGAGGTACGCCATGCCACGCGCGATGTCCAGCGCGAGCCGCAGCCGGAGCTCCCAGGAGAGCGGCTCGGCGCGGCGCTGGACCAACTGCTCGAGGCTACCCCCGTTGATGTACTCGGTGAGCGCGTGCAGTTGTCCCTGATGCACGCAGACCCCGAGGAACCGGAGGATGTTCCGGTGGGAGAGCCGGTTGAGGAGTTGCACCTCGCGCAGCATGTTGGGCCGGTTGCTGGTGGACGTGTTCATTTTGAGCACCATCACCTGGCCCGTGGTGCGGTGCGTGACTTTGTACACTTCCGAAAAGAAGCCGGACCCGATCTTCTCCGAGGTGAAGTCGTCCAGTCGCGTCAGGGTGGCCACCGCGTGACGCAGCGCCTCGCAAGATGACCGCGTCGGAGGCTCCAGCGCACGGCAGCTCAGGCAGCGCATTACAGGCGGCCCCTGCAGCGGTACAACCGGTAAAAGGAAAACATACTAAAAACTAAAACAACAACAACAAAAAAACGTCCCGTGGGCACGTCAACAACTCGCTAAACTGGGTCGCTGCCCCCCCGGCATCGGTGACCAGTGGCCGCCTGTTGGTGACCCAACGGCAAACCCCGGCCCGTTCGGTGCTGCTGGGTGACTAGCGATTTTTGGAGGCGGTTCAAAAGGTAACCAGATCCTCGGAGGAGAGGGGAGTAGGCTTAGGCCGAAGGGCCGTCCACTTACCCGGTCGGAGATGGCATGTCGGTCCCGGCGGCACTCGCCGCGTTGCAAGTCGCCGCCCGCGGGCACGTCCGCCGAAGGACGTCCATCGTTTTGCTGGGCGGTGGTCGCGGCGGCAAAACCTCAGACGGAAAACGGTGCGATGAGGCAAAATGGTAACCGACCCAAACAGCTCGGCATTGCTCCAAGGCGACTACGACGGACGGCTTGTGCGCTTGTTTTGCCCTTTGCTCGTCGCCGCTCCTCGGCGTCAGAGGGCGCCTCGAGCGCTAGCGGCGTGCCGTTATCGAGTTGTGCATGTGTGGGATTTCGCAAACAGCTGATCCTAGGAGTCTAGCGTGGCCTGGCGTGAAGCAGCACGAGCTCCGGTTCAAAAAATAGCGAGTCAGTTTGTATGCCAAGGGCAAACGATGAAAGACCTCTTTTTATTCAGCCACTGCACGCTGTCGTAAAGGTATTCTGGCAGACTTAGCGCAGGTGCAAATAAAATAAAAATTAATCTTTGATCGCATTAAGACTGCGCAACATTGGCAATATTAATTTAAAGCCAGCCGAAATGTCGAGTTTTGCAACAGTTTCTGGACAAGCAATCGTCATGTAAAGTAATTCCATTATTTTCATAATAATCACATTGTAAAACAATTCCATTTTTGTAACACAAAATAATGATCACAGTGCAAAACAACATTGATCATAGTTCAAAGAAGTCCGCTGCAATGCAATGAAGCTTGAGAATAAATTCAGCATCATATCACAGAAGGCTAAGGTGGTTGGTACCTTTCCAGTGCTTCCGAGTTTTGTTAAAGGTCATAGCACATAATACATCTTACTATTTCCGACTCGACGACATAGGACTCGTAGATTCCACAATGAAGCAGTCTAGATCACTTTCATTACTATCAGAGCTGTCGGATTCCCAAAAGTTCCACACAAGCTTAGTCCCTTGATCAGTCATTCCATCTTTATATGTCGTTATCTGATGAACCACTTGTTTTGTTAAATGATCCACAACTTGGTTCGCCATCTCTTCCTTCGGTAGCTGTGTTAATAAACTTGACGCCGGCCTTAAAGCCTGTCCCACCACCTGATTAACAGGCTGATCCATTGTCTGCCGTAGAGCATCCTTCTGAGACGTCTGCAGAGCAGACTGCAGGTCTGGCAAACAAACCTCTGCATCATCTCCCTCACTGCCAGAGCCCCAGAAGTTCCAAACAAGTCCCGCCGCTTCATCTGTCACCTCATTCTTCACAGTCCCCCTAATCATCTGATCCACTGGGCTTGTCTGCTCCACTGTCTCAATCACCACCTGCTTCATCGTCTGATCCATTCCTTGTTCCGTCGTCTGCTTCATTATGTGGACTCCCATCCATCCAATCCTATGGCTTGGTATCGGATCCATTACTTGCTCCACCAACCCCTTAGGCTCCCCAATTATTGTCTGTTTCAGCATCCCATCCATTGTCTCATCCGCACTTGTTTCTACTGTCTGCTCCATTGTCCAGTTCGTCACGAGCTCAGCTGCGTGATCCATCCTCTCTTTGACAGACCTCTTTTCTGCCCAGATCAAACTGACTACATCCACCCCCGGCAAACGAACGTTCGCACAAACCATCTCCGGCTGTAGATGCTTTACCAGGTCCCTAACCTCGGCCAGGGACGCGTGCGTCGAGTAGCAAAGCCGGTACCAATCCTCCCCTATCCTTTCCACGAGGCCACTAGGACCAACTCGGTGAGCAAACCACATAGCCGACGGCTTGACGGTCACGCAGGGCGAACCCAACTCGCAGCCACAGCCGGCGTGAATCCGCGTTCTGCGCCCATCCGTCGTCAACGTCTCCTCAACGTCCGTCAAGCCCGCGTAGCGAGACATCTGCGATCTCGTAACATGCACGCGCATCTCGAAGTGAGCCGACAGGGCCGCAAAAAGACCTTCGTACCCTAGCTGAGCGCCGGGCAACGCAAGCCTTAGGAAACCCCCGGCTAGGAGAGTAGGTTTAGACAGGGTTATCAAAGCGGCCACGCTGTCTTCCCTGCTAGGGACGTAGGCGGCTTCGGGTGTGCACAACGTCGTATCTACGTACGCGCAGCGTATGTTCTTCACCGCTCCGCTCGGTTCATGAAGCGCGGTCAAGCGTTCGGAGTCGCCGACGGCGAGCCTAAAGTCACCCGTGTACAACACGCGACCGCAGTCACCTTCTAGAAGAAACATCACCGAGCCAGCGCAGTGTTCCGCCGAGATCGGGGTGACGACGAGCTCGTAGTCGGGTCCGTGGTCGTCACCGTTCGTCGGAACGGTCACCGTGTTGGGGCAGTCGAGGGGCAGCGCGATCGTGTGCCGTTTCAACCAAGCGTACTTGGGTTCGTTGAGGAGCAGTTGCAGGGACACTTCGGACACGTAGAGCTTGGCGTCTGGGCGAGCACGCAGTCGAGCCTTGAAGGCGGTGCTGCTGAGTCCGTGCATGTGGTCGCGGTGGCAATGCGACAAGAAGAAGGCTGTCGAGTTGAGGTTGATGCCGTCGAAGCGGTCGATCGAGATCCGCTTGTATTCGCGGATCCTGCCGCCGAATGTGCTCATTGTGATGTTGTGCCAAGTTGTCGGTCTCGGGGTCGAAATTGATGAACGCAGTGGGGCCTACGGCTCACCCGAAAGCGCGGGAGGGCCACAGATAAGACGAACGGTGTTGGAAATTTCGGTAACGTCGTTGTCCAGTATGTTCGTGCATACAAGCCTTCCAACTCCCTTGGCAAGATTCGCTGTCATCGTGGGACCTACGAAATAACGAGGTAAAAAATCAACCGCGTCCGCGTTGTACAAATTCATTTCATAAAGATAAAAAAAAAAAAAAAAGTGATGGCGATTACGATTGAATAGTGATGAGTTTTTCGGGTCTCAAGATTATTATTTTTTTTTTTTTTTTAGCGTCTCAGTATATCATTTGTATTTCTTGTCCTCGCAGAGCTCGGCGGTTTTTTTTTTTCTATTGGTTTTCGTATTTATAAATAAAATTTAACAGTGAACTGGGGTTTGCTGGATTTTTCCAGACTCCGGAAGTTTCGTTTCTTGTTTCCTCGCACGCACAAATATGGGTGCAGCGCGAACGGCAGCTCGGAAAATATCTATTTGATGGTCGGCGTGCCGTGCAGACAACGCTGCGTGCAGAGTAGCTTTCTTCAAAGACTTGTCGTAGTGTTCCTAACTTGGCTAGGAGGCCAACCACCCGTTTGTAACTTTGTGTCAGCCGTCTAGCCAATCTCTAACTCTCTCTTCACACTCCATTCTCATTGAACGAGATTTAAAATGACATCTTAAACTTCATGCGGTAGCGGAGAAAGAAATAAACACCAAAGCCTGTGCACGGAAATGTTTTAAAGATAATCAAGTTTGAAACACTTGATCAACCATCTCGCTGCTATGAGTTGACGGTCGCGTTTAGTCTATGGGCATTACCCGTAAAATCCCAATTGAATGCCCACCCGCGAAAGATTGCCCATTCGTTATTCTTGCTAAATATCCAGAGTCAACAATGTCGAGACCATCGCCCCATCTCATATATACGTATAACTAATTCACGCGATGACCGACAAGACCTTTTGAAAAGGTTGGGCTTGTTATATCCAGGCAATTCCCCAGGCTCATTTTACTGCAAATCCCCAGATTCATAGCTCTACACTGTAAAATAAACGAATTATCCAAAGGTATAATAAAGCACAAAAGACAAAGGCACGCGTCTGTCTCCTTGTACTTTTTAATACAACTGGAGTCATGAACAAAGTAGCTCCATCCAAAGTTTTAATGAAGTCATCCACGTTGTCAGGACTGCGATGATCGGGCCTGTAGTCATCGTTAAAAGCAGGTCGCGAACAAGCATTTGAAAACACGTCACACGACTCATTAGGGTCTACATTACTTTTATATTTTCATTTTGCGATGACACTGGCTAAGAACGCAGAAGCGATTCCCTCTCCGTACGAACTATCTACCCTCGATATCACTTTCTTGTCTTGCAAGCAAGGGCAGCCAAAGCATGACAGAAAGCAATAAGTATGTTCTGGAGGCATAGCTTCTATAGTTTGCCTCACCTTATCTGCGAACGAAGCGTATGCTAAAATTACAAACATGTAATTTTACATGTTTGTAATTACATGTAAAATTCAAAAAGCATAGTAAAAAAAAAAAAAAAAGTCTGGCTCCTCAAGAAGCATTACTAATTTCCCCCTTTATGGGGAAAATTAAGATATACCTAGGTGCATTTTAGATTAGATACATGTTACCTTATCAAGACGTCCACCTTTCAAGCACCAAAAGCACTGCTTTCTTCTCAAACAATCAAATCTCGGTAAAAGATACTTTGTGTGGTGCGTGAATACACAAAACTGGTCTTTTTCTGCCCAACTTCCCATAATGGCAACTTCTCTTAGTGGCACAAGTATATCTTTTTGTTCACAATATTTTACCCTAGTTGACGAGTTCACACCAAATAATAAAGACAATCAAGGTGACGTTAAGTGCAAAGCACAAATTACAAACCTAGCATGCTCTATCACTTGCATATTTTTGAATGCATCACTGTATTGGCGACTCCAGCGAAATTGACGCCACATAGTGGCAACGCCGAGCTCAGGAGAGAAGGTTGTTTCTGTCGTCTGCTATCGCTGATTGGTTCTCGTAGGCAGCATAAAAACAAACCTCGTTTTCAGTAATTATTTTTATTTTTCCGCCGTGTCATTTCTACGCACTGACTAAAAGGTTTCTACGGTCGAAAAATCACTTTGCTTTCGTATGCGACACCGATTTTACGCTGAAAGTGCAAGAAAATGTGGTCCGCGTGCTGAACGACGAAAACGACCTCCTTTCGTCCGCCATTTTGCCTGACCAGCGCGCCCCCCATAGTTCACTGGAGTCGCGAATACCACTTGCTGTGTGCATGCTCTATCAGAGTCTATCTCTTGCACTTGTTTAAACGCATTACGAAGGCAACGGGTAAGGAAATCTAGAAATTTTCTTGTCGAGCACCAGGTTAGACATAAAATTGCCACATACCGTCATCGAGCTTTGTTCTGCAGCCTCTTGATTGAGAATAAAATCGGACAACACGAGGTAACAATACTGTGCCAGGCTTTATTTGAGAAAAACAAAACAGAACGAAACAAAGCAACACATAGAACCAATAGATGACTTGAACCCGTCCCTTGTCTTTTTCTGTCCCCGTATCGATACGAAATTCCCCAAACATATCTTATGTACACACACACACACACATTTTTTTGTAGAAAAAGGAAGCCCTTAAAGAATATCCCAGCAGAAAGAGACACAAAGGAACGAAGCTGCTTTGTTTGTTGTTTGCCTCCAGAAATGATGACCTTGAGTACGCAATAACCGTTTCCACCAGGAATGTTGTTTACACGGACAGGACGAAACACATATCTACAAAACACACCGAAAAAAAAAAAAAAGTACACCACTGGTATTGATTGTATGTAACACAACATAGTTATCTCACTCTTAAAAGAAAGGTACATGTGCGTAGACTTCAAAGCTTGTTCGTGATGCCGTAAAAGAGAAGCTACTCGGCGCTTACATAAATTAAAATATAAAAGCTATTTTATATTAGTAAAAAAAATATTAAAACAACTCTGCAGTACAAGCACTTTCACTGCGGCACCGCCGTTGTTCACAATACTTTCGTATCAGATCCTGAGCTGATATATTTGGTCATACAACAGGTATACCTCTCCACAAACCCAACCTGGAAATGCCACACCCTCGCACCAAGCTCAGCTTGCGCCCCGCACATCACGGTGAAGGTTCTTCCAAAACTAGACCGTTTCCTCACGCGCCGAGCGAGTTCTAAATGCTAGTCGTACAAAAGCCCAGCCGCTTGGCAGGCGAAAGGCGGACACAAAAAAGACATTAAAAACACCAGAGTCTACGGTACGAAAATAAATGCTCCTGCATCGTCAAGTCTAGAAAAGAAAAACACGCAAAAAAGGACTAAAAAAAAAAAAAGAACGAAAGTGCCGTTGTAAAAGCAGTTCATCGACAAAAAGTTCGGTCAGATGTGTTTCTAAAAACTCGGCAGACGTCGAGCGATCGCAAGTCTCGACGACGCGACGAGGACCAAAATTGCGTAAATGCGACGCCCTTTCTCCGACCTCCCCGAGGTGGCTCTACGCCACGGTGCACGTGAAAAGAATGGAGGTGAAGATTAAAAAGGAATACACGCGGGGACTAGGAAAGACAAAAAAAAAAGCCCTAAAAGGAGTAAAAGGACGCAGGGAAAAAGTGCGGCTGCGAACGGGACAAATGGGGATGCGGGGACGAGCTCTAGAAGTAATGGCTGATGCTGCTTGACTGCTGCTGTGCGTAATGCTGCGGATGTCTGTGGTGGTGGTAAAAGAGATGGTGCGTGGGCCCCAGCTCCGCCTTGTGGAAAACGAAGAAGTGAAACAAAATGTCAGCACACTGCAAAGCCATGTGAACGCCCGTCGGTAACTCCGCATCAAAGCGTGTACCGAGGCTGGCTCGAAACACTCGCATCTCGGCGCAATCCACGCTGGTACCGCTCGTGACCGTCCACGCTGAGAGAAGACACGTGTGCTTTAAATAATTCTGACAATGTTGTAAGTGGCCATTCGTCATAGATGGTGCGGGGACTTGACATTGCAAGTGCCGCAAAACTATCTGTCTAGTTGTACGCAGTTCGGAAAAGTGTGCTTTCTCATCCCAAACGGTTACGAGCGGTACCAACGCAGTCGGTCTAGTGCGAACCAGCCGTTAATGGCCAATAAGCACTAAGGTAAGACACAGAAAAGCATGCTGGCAAAAAGATTTCGTTGTCTACATGACTCTCTTCAAGGTACACCTTCACCCTGAGTCCGCGGCAATTGCTACGGCGCTCCGCCGCCCAGGAACCGGATGTCCGCGACTCTCGGCAATCGGCTCGTGACGCTGGACGGCACCGCGGTCTAACGCGCCCTCGAACCAGGCATCAACACTCCCCACAACTCGCGTGCAGCGCCGTCCAAAAACAAAAACCAAAGGAAAGCGCTTTCCAAGGTCAAGAACATGCGCCACTCCAAAGAGCAACAAACACGGCAGCAACACCTGGACGAGCGGGGGAAAAAACCTGGAGAAGCAATCCCAAAGAGGGTGCAGTGCAGCGAAGCGTGCAGAGAGGGGGAGACAGACGAGAAAGTACCATGCAGACGTTCACACAGCTGGTTGTGCGAAAAAAAAGTCTCCCCGCGCGTTACGGTGCCTACTATGCGTCTTGCCAACCGGCGCGTTTGCGGCGTTCGGAAAAGTGGTCCCTCTACTTCCGTCCAAGGACATTGTAAAAGTGTCACATCGCCGGCGGCGGCAGATGGGGCAGACGCCTGTTCTGCAACCAGGAACCTTTGGCAGCCGAGAGTTGGGACGCCGGAACTACGGCAACACTCGCATTCTCTCGTTTTTTTTCCAGAATTCCTACGACCAACCGCTGGGATTGCGACATCCGACCACATGAGACACTCCAGCTTTCGTGAGGTCATTTGTTGCCACTTCGGCACCACTTTCGACGCACGCTAAACACGCTGGTCGCAGACGCTTATCAAGCACCGAACCCGCACGTGGATGCGCGTGGACGGGTGTCCGCGAACGAGGCACATACCTCCGTCTGCGAGCGGTCAGAGGTTGAGCGAGCGGGGCTTGAGCCATTGCCGTGCCTGCTGTGTCAGTTCCACCTGGTCCCTCGTCTTCCCACACACCAGGGCACTGAACTTGTCCAGCTAATGGGGTGCAAAGGACACCACCCCACGGTTACCTCCTTGCTCCAACCCAATCCAATCCGAATTGGATTGTGGCAGCTTAACCCTCTGTATCGGGCGAACCCCACGTTGTACGACCCTCCGTTCAATGAGCTTCGGTTTGTTGTGGTCGGGCCCTCTAGTTTGTTGCGCCCATTTTCAAAAAGATTCGGTGTAACAGGTCCGCATTTATTTCGCGGAGGCGAAATAGACGTCTGTTTCTGTGTGGTCAAAGACCCCGGGACACGACATTGGCAAAACAATGTTGCGAAAAAGGAAACCTTTACGCGGCTTACGACGCTGTCCGTGGGAGCCAGAAAAGGTGCCGTCGTAATTATAATAAAATTTATAAAAATATATAATGTATGCAAGCTTAAAATACTCTACACGTCAGCTCTCCTAGGCATTTTGAGAGCTCAAAGCATTTAATTTTGCGTTTCTCCTTTAGGTTTTTATGGGTAAAGAGCTACAGTGCAACCCACTTATAACAATATAGCGCTTATAACAATCAGTTTCTAGAGTTTCTAGGCTGGAAATCATCAGTTTCTAGTCTAGATACAACGATAATCGGTTATAACGATTGGAATTTTGGGTTTTCTCATTATTGTTATAAGTGGGTTGCACTGTATAACAAAAGCAAACCTCTAGATATCAGTCGAACAAAATACAATAATTACCATAGAGTGCACCTCTGGCATAACAGCACACAGGAGCGAGTTGTTGCAAATCAGTGCTTCGGTACTGACATTATTAAATGCATAGTATTCATAAGGCCAGCCCTTAGAGTTTTCACACCCGTGGGAATGCAGCCTTAAATGGCAACGTCACACCAATAACAGCATGGTGTCCACACGACGTCATCAATGCGTCAAATGTCGCTATGACATCATGAGACACCATAGCGTCGCGGCATGTGGTCAAGTGACGTAATGCCATGTAACACTGCAACGTAAGATGACAAAGTTACGTGGCATTACGACTTCAAGTGACGTGGAACCGCGACGTCACCTGACATAAGGTCGTGATACATGGCACATGACATGAGGTCACGGAGCTATGCATTTAGAGCACCTTTGGGGATACGTCAGAGATGGGCTCTTTTTACCTCCTAACAGATGTGCGAATTATAACCTTTGTATACACACAAACATAACCAGAAATGCAAAAGAACTTTGCGTCGAGATCACGTCAAAATGCCAAAAAGTTTGAACCGTCTGGCAACGTAAATTGTCGCGCAAAGTTACTTCGGACACTCCCAAGCAATGCAACGACACAGAGCGCTTCACCACCTAGGTATGCAGCTGCACAAGTTATGAGAAAGACGCCATTGCCAGACCTTGGTATGCCGCATCCGCTACCAAGTTTAGAAGGTTGAGATGGAGACGGTAACTGTGCCACAATGCGACAACAAAAAACTTGTTGTGGCAAAACAACACAGCTGTGCGACTGCAAACACGACGTACAGCCAATCATGCCCTCCACTCAAATGCCAGTCCATTTTCATCCCGCTATGGTGTCGTCAGTTTGGTGCAACCGAAACCCCTAACGATGCTAGTGGCCACAAGGCGTCTTGGATTGACTGATGCCTAGATAAAGCGACACTCCATACTATAGCGTGGTGAGTCACTTTACCCGTCAGTGGATATGGTTGCGACGAAATGATTTTGTAAAAAACTTTTCACCTTTCTACTCTGGTGAAGGAAGACCAGCGGAGCTGTACTACTGTGGGACCACCTAAAGGACGACTTCTTGTACGACCTCGAGGACGCCGCCTAGAGGATGACGTCTAGGACGACCTCAAGGACGTCTGGGACAACTTCTAGGACAACCGAGGACGACCCCTAGGACGACCTCAAGGATGACTTCTAGGTCTAGGACGACCTCAAGGACGACTTCTAGGAGGTCTAGGACGACCTCAAGGACAACTTCTAGGACAACCTCAAGGTCAACTTGAAGGATGACTTCTAGAATCTCGAGGACAACCTCTCCGACGACCTCAAGGACGACGTCTAGGACGACCTCAAGGACGACGTCTAGGACGACCTCAAGGACGACATCTAGGACGACCTCAAGGACAACATCTAGGACGTCCTTGAGGCCGACTTCTAGGATGACGCCTAGAGAAATTCAGACTTTCCACTCTAGTGAAAACCAGAGTGGAAAGGCTGGAAAAGTTCCGGCCATCAATGAGCGACGGAGACAACCAGATAGCCACCAAGACGGTCGTCTGGTTGCCGCCGTTGCTCATAGAGGGCAGTAGCTATCCAGAGTTTTGAGTCGAGATTTATTGGTCCACGGACACAAAACTGGGGAAACTAGCCCTTAACAGCTCCACTGTAAAACATCTCTTCACAACCATTGCCACCAACGGGGTCTGAAGCACAGAACCTGGAGAGTCCCGACCAGTAACAATGACGAAGAACCAATCGCGAAGCAAGGTCCCCAAACATGAGCCGCACCCTGAATTTCCTAAGCCTAGCGACCACAACATGGCTGGGTACCATCCCCAACCAAAAAGCGGTTACTCCTCGGTTTCCTCAAGACGCCTTGCCACCACCGGTAACCCGCGAGGCAGGCGACGTCGCCGGAAGGTGTGCGCGGTGCAGTGAACAGAGCAATGCCGGTGCCACGAAAAACAAAAAGGGTGCAGAAAGCTGTGCCAGTGGGGGTGGGAGTGCCAGGGTGACTGACCTTAGGGTGCCATCTGTGGGGCGTCGCCTCAGAGAGGCTGTGCAGAGAGACCATGCGGGAAGAAAAGAGGTGCTGGTGGTGCCCCCTTGGCTGCAACGAAGCCCAATCGACGTGCCGCTCGTTACGGTACCCTCGGGAGATCTACCGCCGACAACGTAGGGAACGGTACGGATTGACGACTAGCGACTCAATCATTTGCACGACTAAAAAAAGAAAAGAAAAAATTAGTACCGCACTATTTTAAGGTTTTGCCACGCCGCCGCAAAAAGTTGCAACGTAGCGCAGTGCAATCCCGTTTGATTTCGGAGAGATGGTAGTGAGAAAAGACAAGCGGCATTAACACTCCCTCCTTGCTACAAAAGCTTGAGTGCTCGGGCAAAAAGAACCCCCGAAATATTAGTCTTGATTGAGGAAAGCTATCTTTAAAGGGAAGTGAAGCCTTGCATCGAAGTTGTGGGAAATAACTAACGTCTTGGTCAAAGTCCATAAAAACACCACCGTAAGGTCATCCAAATCCCACGAAGAACCCAACTTCCGGCAGAACTCCAGTCTGTCATGCGGAACACAAATTTGTCTGCTTCTTGCACATGGTTTGTGACGATGTCAAAACGCCGAGTTTTAATTGATCGATTGAAAAAAAATAGCGGGTAGACCTCAAGGCATCTAGCATTTGAGGTCTACCCACTACCCTTCCAATCAAAGCCAATCAAAGCTCAGCGTTGTTCCAACATCTCTGCAATCCTAGCGCAAGAAGCAGACGACTTGCTCTCCATATAGGTTTAGAACGGCGGGACAAGACCCTCCCAGAAAGCTCTCTTCTCCCCTTGATTGGTAGTTTCCTCATCTCCAGCAATCACTCTGCTAAAGTGGAAAGAGTGGAGGGCCTGGTGGGAGGCACCTGGCCTGCTATCCCAAACCTGCAGAAAACATATCTTCGTGCATTTGGCGCCTAGTTCGGCACACTCTATGCTACTGTATATTCTGGCGACCGCAGAACGGGTACAACTACTAGCACCGGGTTTCAAAGGGTTAAGAGGCGGGGTACCCTCTGTTGCCTGTGCGTAACCTCACCTTGTGCCTGGAAGGGACGACGGCAATGAAGGCGTCGTTGGGCGAAGCGGTTACCTCTTCCGGCAGCGTCTCTCGAATAATGGAGGGCGGGGAGAAGAGGACGGACGAGTCTCCCAGCAAGCTCTTGCTCTATGGAAAGGGAACAGAGGCTTCGTTCTCGAGGTGCCCTACTCACTCTTTGTACAGATGCGAAGTACAACACTAAAAAAGCCGTGGGGGAGCATTCACGTCACTCGACGGGGCCGCGTACGTGGCTAAGCACACATTTTGTTGTTAGTCTGAGTAATGGTTTATGATATACAATGCTACAAAAATTTGCCAAGTTTCGCCGTCTGCTTCATACCCTGCGTGAAGCAGATGGATCTAAGTTTGTGGTTTGATCTTCAGTCAAGCGTGACTTCCGATCTCGGACGAGTGAATAGAGTCCCGGGCAGGTATTCCCAAGGAAAAAATGTGGAAGCCTATACGGGTTCTTTGAAGATCACCAGTGACGTAGCAAAGGTCGACGTGGGAAATGCTGACATGGCAAGAATTGAAATAGCAAATGCCGACATAGCAAAAATTAACAGAGCAAAAGCCGATAAGCAAAAGTTGACACGGCAAATGTTGACACGGCGAATGTTGACACGGTGAATGTTGACACGGCAAATAATGGCACGGCAAAAGCCAATGAAGCAAAAGTTGCTGGAGCAAGGGTTGACATAACAAAAGTTGGCATGACAAACGCTGGATGTACACTTGCCGGAGTTTCTGGTAGCATGAAGGGGTCTGCGTCGAGCGCCGCAAATCCAGTGGCAGTCAGCCCCGGCACCGGAATCTCTCCCGGAGTGGACCACGTCTGGTGGAGCGCCTTGCGGACCCGCTTGGACGGCGACAGGTTCTACGAGCGGCGGTAACCTCGCTTGTTTAGCAACGGAAGGTGGCAAATGCCTATCCCACATTCAAAAGCAACGAATTAGTGAGAGGTCATTCAGCGACTGCATTCACCTCCTTGTTGGCGCGCTTCTTCACCGGGTAGTCCGCCTCTGCGGAGAGCACCACTCCGTCCACGTTGCCCAGGAGGTCTCGGATGTCGTCCAAGGTCGGAGTCTCCGCCTGCAGAAACACCAATCGCCCACGGTGCAAGACAGTGTCAAGAGATGTGTAACAGCATCGTTAAAGATGAGCTGACACACCACAGTGTGTCAATGAGACAGCAAGGCATGTTGGTAAGACCGACTGTGTCATGGCAGCTGCACCCGGACTGTTTCCATTCCATACAATTGTGTCTCATTTACCTTTCGTTTGTTAAACTCAATTTTAACCATCAACAACGGTAAACAAGTACAGGCACGTAATGCCCCACCCCTTCCATCGGTCTTGATTAACCAAATAGTATGTCACCTGAACAGCTTGCAGGTTGCTCAAAGCATTTTAACAACAAAAACACGACGAAACATTCTGTACATGCCTCGCGTAAATTAAGGCCATGCCATAGTACACACCACTTAAACTTGTATATAGTTCAAATTAATTTCGCAGCACACTGAAAACAGTACTTTCTACGCAACCATGTAACCTGCCTGCCACCGGAAATAAAACAGACCTGCGCGACGAACGCAAATGTGAAGTACATCGCACGCATTTGTACCGACCCATTTCTCGACCCAAGAGTCGCAATGAAGCCTGGAACGCATCTCCAACTGGTCTGCTTACCGCGTCCAAAAAAATTGTCTCTCAATTTCCGCCCGACGACGTCGTAGAAGTGTCATGCTGTCGCCGATCACGATAGTAGCAGATGTGGCAGACACCTTTTCCGCTGCAGGTCACTCTCCAGCGTGGCAGGCCAAGGAAACTCCGACAGCCAGAAGTTGGAGCGGCGTGATGATGGCGACACTCGTGCTTTTCGCTAAAATTTTTTTGACCAACTTCGCGCACCGTGCCGTCCGACGGCACGACATTTCGGCTTCTGCGGACTCACTTGTTACCACTTCGAGAACACTTTTGATGGGTGGGCATGTGGGACGCTGAACTACGAGTCTGTGACGCGTTCCAGGCTCCATAGCATCACTTCCACGTCGGGATAGAAGGTCAGCATCCGAATATTACGAGCGACGCCGGCTTGGGCATTCTAGAACGGGGCGGAAGAAGTGATTGCAAAACTAACCTTTCGGATGGGACCGCCCTTCTTCTCCAGTTCTGCCAGGGCGTCCTTGAAAGGCGTGGGTGTCCGCGGGCTGTACTCTTCCCCTCTCCTCTTCGGCGTTGGCGTGCGCATCGCGTCGCTGCGCGAGGAAACGGTCGCTTCAAATCGGTCGCACTTCACATTCGCCGATTCCGACTTTTGTGGAACTTATCAGAACGGAAAACGACAGAGTTTCCCCACCACAGATTCTGACCTATCGCTGACACTACCATTTACAAGTTATAATGCTCGTTCGGCCACTCTCTTTAAAAAACAACAAATGATGCCATTAACTATGCAGCCAACTCTTGGTAATTCAAAGTCCCTTCGGTCAAATTTTCGGTTAGTTGGAAGCGGGGGTTTGGTCTCGCTGAGCCTATGCGAAAAATCGTGCGGTAATTCTGGGACAGGTTAACTCGAAGGATCTTTTAATGTGCTCATGAAGTCCAGCAACTCTGCAAGCATGAAAAAGCCTCGCAATTATGCCATGCACACTTCGTTGCTTTTATCTATCGTGTGCGCAACTGGAAAGAAAGAGGGAAGGTGTGCGGCGCAAGAAAAAGCGGCGAGGCGGCCAAGCCAGGTATGCGGCCAAGCCAGGTATGCAGCCAAGCCAGGCCGGACCAGCATGGCTGCGAGCACATGTATCGTGGCGTTGCTTCAATGCAAATCACAAAAGCAAGCGCAGCTGCGCGTACGGCCAAAAAAGCTTGTTTTGAGGCAATACCCAGCCCTATGAGATGCATTGTCTATTGAAAACATTTGTGTCAACAAACATGCCACGGTCTGTAGTCCGCTTACGGACAGCGACACTGTGCAAGTTGTTAGGCCTAGAAACAATCGCTTCGCTTTTCGTGCCGAGCGCTGAGAAAGATGACGATAGAGGAGAGGAAGAACAGGAGCCTCAAACACAGCTGAAATTTATTTACAAAAAATCCTGTTTACATTATATAGGCTTCAGGCACCTTTCCAAACAGAAAAAAAGACAGAAAAATAACACAAAGAAGGAAACTACCTTTCCACAAACGTATGTGTGCAAAACACTAACATTAACGAATAACTACAACAGGTCAAAAAGTGTATGTGTGTGTGTGTGTGTGGGGGGGGGGAATCAAACTTTTGTTAAAACTTATGAGTGACCTTCACCTCGGAACAAAGCAAAACATGGGGAGACAAAAAAAAAGAAGCCTTTTTAATTTTATGCTCTGCAAATAAACAGGAGCGACCTCAAAGACGTGTCACACCGTGCAGCGCAGATTACGCAACATCATTGTTTCTGCATGTGACAACGCAATTTTCCTGCAAAATTTCACGTGGAAATGCTTCCCGTTGAATTTAGTGGGAAAATTGTGACGGAACATGGCAAAGTGCAAAGTGACTGCGAGTCGTCACATTATTGTGAAACGGCATGTGTGCTACTTTGCCGGTGAGACCCTTAGGGTGCACAATTCTGACACTCAAATGTGGTATACTCAGAGGTGACGAAACATTTAATTGAGTGTCAGAATTGTGAGCCCTTTTGGCAGCCTGGAACGGTGGTATTGTCCAAAAGTGGTAATTATAAACCATTATTAAAAAAAATCCATTACAATTCTTCAGCATGGAAATGTGGTAAACAAATCCTCCCGCAGTTTAGACATAGAATTGAAACTGTTCGGCATGGAAATGCGGTAAACAAACCCTCCCGCAGCTTAGAAAGAATTGAAAAGGTTTCTGAACGTTTAACCTTTCAAGCTGATCTGTCTTTTTTTTTTGCTTTTTTTTCACGTTTTTAAATTTTGTTTTGTCCCACGATGAAGGTCACTATGTAGTAAGTTTTAACAAAAGTTTGAATCCCCCCTTTTTTTAGACCTGTTGAGTTCATGTTCATACTTCGCACAGGTACATTAGTGGAAAGGTTGTTTCCTTCTTCGTGTTCTTTTTCTGTCTTTTTACTGTTTGTGAAAGTGCCTGAAGCCCTTCAAGAGCAAGATTTTTTGTTAATAAATTTCAGTTGTGTTTGAGACTCGTTTTTCCCTTCCTTCAAAGTTGTTTTTTTCCCCAGTCTCAGGGTTATAGTTCATCATGAAAAACAGTTTGAGTGTTTTTCTTTTTCTTATATTCAACGCATGCTTAATTCAATGCGTTCCGTGAACTTCTAATTATTGAGAGTAGACTGTACAAAGAGAATACAAAACAATTATTCAAATGCATAGTACTGTATTAAATAATACACTCTCAAAAATATATTTTTACAACCAACTAGAGTCACTTGAAATGCTCTTACAAACAATTTTCATACTCCGCCCTATAGCAACGGATATGGTACATTGCTCAAAAGGACATTAATTGAAAATGCAGTAAATCGGGAATTTTCTTATTTTAATTTTGTTGTTTGTGTAGTACCAGCATGCAAGCCAAATAAGACCCGCGTCACTTATTTACGTACACCGGTATGGATCCAGACCTAGCCACAATGGTTAAGCATTGGATCCAGATGCAAATTGCAGTGCCCTCTATGTTTATAGAAGATAATTATAGATTGATCCATTGATTGACCTTAAGCAAGGAACAGGGTGCAGCAGCATAAGACTGACCTCTCGTCAGCGGAGTCCTGGAGCACGAAGTTGTGCAGCACCGGTGGCTGTGAGGCGTGGTCGATTCCGCGCACCGGTGTCGACGTTCGATTCCCGTGAGTGCACTGCTCGATGTTCGGGTTGTTGAGAAACTGCACCGAGGTCAAGAACATCGTCGTGGTCGGTTCCATCGCGTCAAGTGCAATCTCGTCTAGTCCAAGGCTGAAAATTTCCGCACCAAAGTGTCTCATAGGGAACGCAAACAAAACGAAGTAGGCGCTGCCAATGAGAATGCAAGGAGATAAACATGGAATCAATGTAGACGGACTCCAGGCGAGGGCTGTACCATGGAACACGCTCAAGAAACGTTTCTCTTCAACATCTCTTAGAAAGAAAACATAATGTAAGGGCTGTTTCAGCCTTCACATTGTCTTTTTGTTAGTTGTGGCCAAAACAGAAAACAAAGCGACAGCCACCACAGACGTACTGGGACAACCGCAACCCCCGACTGCTTCCCGAAGCCACTTCCTGAATTAGGTGTTGCACCGCATACAGCGAACACTTGCCCCGGTCATTACATGTCATTACTGTTGCGTCCGTCGCTCAGAACACAACCAACGCCACTGCCTGAACCGGGCAAAACTACAGCGTTTACACTAATGCCTCGATCCCACCTTGGACGGTCTGCAAAAATTGGTTTTTAATGTAACGTGCTGAGATTCAACACAAAAATGCGGCTAGGTGGCGCATGCATAAAGTTAAAATATCAGCGGAAAAACTTGCCTCGTCCAAGAAAGAAAAAAAGAGAACCTATTTGGGGCTATCTACTGCAGCATTTCCCGGGCGACTCAGGCGGTGCTCATCGACTTAGACTCTGCCGACAGATGGTTACGCATGAAAAAACTTCCGCTAGATCCTCTGCTATCAAAACCAGAATCGGCGCGCCGTGCACGCCTTCGATGCATATACCATCTGTTTTATTCCCCGAAACAGTTTTTTGCTTTTTCTTTTTTGATTGAGGTAAGTTTATCAGTCAATATTTTACTTTCCTTCTTGAATCGGGCAAGTTTATCCATTGATATTTTACTTTGTGTACACTGCCTAGAAGCTCCTCCGTAGTAAATCCCAGCGAGATACGTTGAAAAACAGATTTCTTGCCGACCCTCCAAGGTGGGATCGATGCATTAGTGTATGTGTGTGGTGGTATCCAGGGGCAACAAACGTTTGGCTTTGTGTTGCACCGTGCCAAACAGTCCTTTAAGGAGGAAACAGTTCTTCCATTCTGTGTTTCTGAAGTCACTAGCATTTCCCTTTTTGAGCGCCAAAAGGATCTGTCGAAATTTCTCAAAAATCTTTCAGGTGGCGTATAATCAAATCTGCACGGTCACCAAAACGAAACATCAAGGCTGGCCCACACATTCACGACTGCTTATGAACTTTCGCGATTTCTCAGGACGAGAGAGCACGCTGGAGTCATCCATGAGGTGGCCCCGAAACTGCACTTTGCTAGAGCGAAAGTTTTGCAGTACCGTATTTACACAAATGTAGGTAGCCCATTTTTTAATTTCTGAAATTCTGAAGCGAGGAGGTCAACTTATGATCGAACCAAAGCATTCCATCGCCGACAAAAACGAAACGATCGTGATATCAAGAACACCTCGGCTTGTTACGAGTTCAGCCTGCTGTACCTGTAGCATTGCGCCATTCTGTAAACTCATTTTACAAAATCTTTTCTTTTAATTCTATATGTGCGAACGAGTACCACTGACAGTAATTTACAAATCAGCCCAAATGTAAGCAGTGAACGGCACACGGTGCGCCCGACTCCGGGGGGTGGCGGCACTTGCTGCAAGAGCCGCTCCGGAATGGCCACTGGAACAGCCCTACCCAGCCTCAATTCTCGCTGCTTTTTTCGCATGATTTACGGTCGCACATTGTTTGATCGAGTGTCGAGATCATGCTGGAGTGCCAACTAAGTTTCTCTGTTTTGACACGCTAATCAGGGCAGTTTATGTTTTCAGTGCTTGTTTTGGCGATTCTTCATTTACCGTAGAATACCGTACATCCACCCATACCACATTAAGCGCCCATACCCAAATTTGTAAGATCTGAGAAAATATGCACAGTACATTGATATGTAGAATTGATGACCGGACAAGCGCCCACCCCCATTTTTTCATGATTATCTCAAAATTTTGAGCGGGCGCTTGCCCGGTATTTTACGGTAAACACAACTAAAAGCTGCACTGCTAGACGCAAGTTCGACCCGTCGGAATGGCTGGTGCTCCACAGGCGTCTGCAACTGTGCAGGATCTTAGCTACGACGGTAAACTATCAGAGACTCCTACGGACCAAAGTCTGGATAAGTCGGATGCCTTGCGGAGTTCGAGGTCAGGTGCTCAGGCTTGCAACGTAAATCGCAGAAATGCACCATCGATCCCTACCGGCGACGTGCGATGCGATCGCTGAGCAGGCTCAGAAGACGCATTTGTGAAGTGCCAGATTTCGTTGGACGACACCGACGACGTGCTTTGAGAACACAGCACCGATGACAACGGGTATGACAGCCTTAGTGCGGACGAATTGTCATCTCTAGTCGCAGACAGAGTGAGAATGACAGGGAGCAGGTTCAGCTGTCCCGCTTCCAGCGCGAGCTTCCTAGATTCGATAACGATTAAGCATCTTGTGCACCTCGCGTGTTCCTGCGTAGCCAAAGCACACCAGAAGGCATCGAGCGCGCGCTGGAGGCCGGGCTTTCGAAAGAGACACCCTGCAGTTCTCATATGTTGCCGGTAAAATCAGTCCCTTAAAGTATAATTTTTTTTTTTTCTGGCTGACGTGCAATATGAGGGGTCGAATTACAATCGTGTAAATACAGTATTTGTGAGATTAAACATAGACGCCGTCGTTGAGAAATGGTTGTTCATAATGATGTCAAAAACTTTTCCCGAATAAAAAAAAAATGCTGAAAATACTGGCTCCGCCGTTTTTCGGCTTTCAGCGGGTTCCTGAAAATTTTGATTCTTTGATTCATTGGATTAAGTATGGTTCATTCATCTGCATATGTTCATTTATACACTATATATATATACTATATAATCTAAAGTGTTCTGCCCAATTGATGGCCCCAGCGTGCTCTCACCGTCCAAGAGCCTTTACGCACGACGCACAAGATCTGAGGCGCCCGAGTTTACCTGCGAGGGCGAAAAGGGAAGCGACTTCCTCGGCGTCGCACTGCCGCAGTTGTGCGGAGCGCCCCTGGCGCCGATGAAGAGGTCGTGCTCGTCCCGGAGATGCCTCGGGAACGAGTCCATCACCCCGACGACGTACTCGTCGTGCTCCCGCTTGACCGGGTGGGCAGCGGGGTTGGCCGACGACGCGCCCCTGCCGGGGAGCAACTGTGGGAAGGAGAGGGCAACGCAAACGTCAAGTTACTCCGCAGGGCAACCTTCTACACGACGCCAAACGGTAACCAGGATTAAGCAAAGAATGTATGGAATGCTATCCACAGACCCACCCAATTGAGCTGGTTCACACACCGAGCGCGATATCGAGTGCTTCGCGCACACTCGTAACCGCTCAACTACCGGTACATCCGTCGAGCAGCCGTGGACCCCCTTCGTTCTCAGCGTGACTAAACCAAAGTTTTTGCGGCATTTAAGGGACCAAACCTACGCCCCATCTACGTAAGACGGTTGCTTACAACGTCGTCTGAATCCCTCTGAGCCCGCTTAAAACTACACCGCGTAAATAATCATAGAAGTATAGACACAGAAACGCATTCCGGGGCTACTGCAATCAAGAGCGACGGCGTGCCTATCTCGAGCGCATGAGTGTGGCCAAACGCAGCGGAAGGCACGGAGAACGTGCCGGAGGGCCAGGCATTTCAAAGACGTGCCCTGCCGTTCTTTCTCCGTCGGAAATATCTGCCACCCACCGTAGAGTACTGCAGGAGCTCCAACGAGACGATCTCCACCGGTTCGTGGAGGGCGCCTTCCTCGTAGGTGGTGCTGTCTGCCTCCGAGTGAGAGTAGCCCCCGTCGTGAGACTGCGACGAGTGCTGCGTGCAAACGACCGCGCGACGACGGGGGGTGAGCGAGGACGCAAAACTATGCAAAGCGCAAGTTCGTCTGGTTCTTTTGCTGGGGCTGTGGTGACATCGAAGCATTGAGCTCCGATTGACTCCGATTTAAGGATAGTGGGTAGACCTTAAGGCAGCTTGCTTTGAGGTCTACTTACTATTTTTCAATCGGAGCCAATCGGAAATCAGCGTTATGACTTCTCCACAACCCCTGAAAAAGAAGCACTCTGCATGGCGTCCGGTGTCTGCTTGCACAGAGACACGTTCCAGGCACAGTAAACAAAATGCGTTGCGTAACAGACGACCATGGCCGAGCTGACGAGAGGGGCACTCACCCGACGTCTGCGCTTGCCCCGCCGCAGGATGAGAGGGGTCTCGAGACGAGAGCCGTTGCTGCACTGGGAGGTGGAGGAAACCACCGGGGTTTCGGCGACCGACGCGATGCCACTCTCTTTTCCTAGATCCTCGTTGTCCCCAGATCCTGCGGCAACGCGACTCTTTAGGAAACAGTCCCGCCGCTGTACGAGGAAACGGAAGCGCCCTCCGAAAACGATATAGCTCAACCGTGGCTCGTAAACCAATGACGTCAATGATTTGCTTCAAACAAGACATTACGCGAGGCACGTGTTTCTTGCAAACGTGCGATAGGTCTCGTGCACAATGCGAGTTTAAGGTCATGAAGAATATTCAATGCAAGGCTGAAGAAAACAGAAGTGTGCCTACATTATGTAGGCCTGCGTTCACAAAACACGTGGCGACCATTGAAAGCTGAAGCTTTGTTCCGCTTACTTGCACACTGTCTCGCAAGGATCCAAATACACCAACTGGAAAGCCAGAAACCTAGAAAGGCAAGGTTTTCAAGGCCCCGGTGTCGAGAGCTGCCATAACTAGCAGACTAGATACCATGATGCCGAATTCCTGGTGGTGTTGCGACAGACCAAATCGACTGTGTCAGTCACCGTGCTCCAAGGTGGTAACGCAGCACCGAGATTAATGTGCATTGCTGTATTGCAGTTGTGCCGTGCAAGTTTCAACTATACAACAAACACTGAACATTGAACTTTATTAGAACAATATTGTGACATAGACACGTCACATTAGTAATCGCATGGAGCAGGCAGCCAGTTGTCACAACAAAACTCACATTTCTATGTTCTTCACGCTTAAAACTTACCGGTCATTTCTTTCTTACAAAGGGCGGTGAACTTGATGGGGGTGACGTGAGGCACAACACGCGTTCCGTCCGTGAGTTCAAGCACGGTCAGGCGCCCGAAGGACCCATTGCTCGCAGAGAGCCCATCTGGGCTCTGCGTCGTCGCAGATTCGAGCTCCTCCACGTTGATGTCGCTGCAAGTCCAAAAAAAGAACCATAGACGATGTGTTAGGGCTACACCAAACGATTTTGGTATGAAGCACCAACGCAGAACAAAGATCGACCCACATTTTTTTTTCCCTCACTTCCTACCCAGTGCAGATGAATCTCGTTTATTCGAACCCGAAGGGGACCGAACATTTGTTTGAATAAAGCGAAGTTTGAATTACCGGGAGTTTCCTCCTATTATCTGAATTATCTGCAAGTTTGAATTAAGAGAGTTTGAATTAACGAGATTGGACTGCATACTGATCCGGCAACGGCACAGGAACAGCGGGAACACTTTGGACCCCGCAATTTCGGCATGCGCCGCCTGTCCTTGATGGTGCTTTGGCCGCACGTGTGTGTCTCCTGCACATGCGCGTCCAGTGCACAGGCACGTCTGCAAACGTAATGGTTCGGTCGGGCCACGCTACCGTCGACGGCAAGGTGGCGAACGCGACTAAGGAGGTCAGCCATCGGAAAAGGTAAGTGGTCGTCGCGGAGCTCTTAGCAACCAGAGCAGACACCCTCAAAGATGAATTCAAAAATGATAAACTAGATAAACTACCACAACACTAGATCTCGCCTTAGCAGCTGAGGCAGACACCCTCAAAGGCAAAAGCAAACGAGAAATGTGTGGAATTAGAATACAGTAGGCTCGCGAACATTCATACTCTGATATTTCATACTTCCTGTCAATTCAAACAAACTTCAAAACTTTCGGTTGTCCAGCTGTTTTTAAATTATTTATGAGCCGCTCAATCCAAACAGCGTTTTCGTGCAATTCACGCTTTTTAGTATGAATTGCACGAATTGTACCGAGCACCAATGCACTGCGGAGAAGCAAGATCCGCGAGCTCGCTTTTGTGCGTGTTGCTTCTCTGCTCTGCTTTGGTGCTCGGCAAGAAGCGTGCTGAACAGAGCTAAAAGTCTAGACAACTTTCTCGCTGGATCAACAAACTTAATTCTGTTTTAAGGTGTCATGCGCTGCCGAAACAGTCCACGATAGACAAACTTTCGAGGGGACGAATAAACTTGTCTCATACATTTCACAAATGTTTCATGTGTGGCATGCCTGCTTATGATTACAGTATAGACCACTTACAACGTAACCGCTTATAGTGCAGGACCGGGTATAATGCGGCTTTTTTAGACCACCGGTTCGCCTCCCATAGAACTCCATGGAATTACATACCGCTTAAAATGCAGGCGTGCGAAGGGAAATACCGGTTATAGTGTGGTTTCTCGAACTGCCCGCCGACCGCGCCGACACTAGATAACAGCGCTAGCCGCGAGCGGCACTTGCGGGGGCGAGGATGGCAAGGAGGTTGCTCGAAGAAGCGGGGAGAAGCGAAGAGAGGCTTCAGTTGCCATAGCGACGGAGGGATGCACGCACGTGTAGTTCACGGCGCAAGGCGTAGGCGAGCCCAACCAGCCGTTCGCGCGCGTTGCATGCCGGTCGCGGGCCGGCTTCTATCCGCAAACATGGCGTCGGTGGTGAGCGTCGACGTAGACGGCGTGGCGAAAGCTCATCGTTCCGCGTAAATGCATTATCCTTGACTGTGAATTTTCGCTGTGTGTCGCTATGATAACCCAGCACGTACTAGAAGGGAAGATCCACCTACTCGTGCGGCGATGTCATGGCGGCACTCGCAAGACAGCAGAAACGCCCGTTTCGTTGTGTTTCTTTAATTCGACTACATTGGTGCTTTCTTAGCATTTGTGTTTTTGAACATCGCTCGGATTTCTTATTTGGAGCATTTCATGCGCGCATTTCATGCCTTTTTTGGAGCATTTCATGCGCGTACCGTATAAAGGATGCGAATTTTCACGCGTTTTCATCACCGGAGAAAAGTGAGTAGGGTTAGCAATCCTGAACGCTCGCAACGTCCGTCCGCAACCCTCGACGCAGTTAAAAGGCTGTGCCAGGCAAAAGTCGCTTATTTCTTTCCAAATGTGTGACACACTTGAGAGAGAAGTGTACTAGTCTAGTGAAATAAAGACTTTCCTCAAACTAAGCTTTATTTTCCAACCAATATAAAATAAATTGTTTTACAAAGGTAAGTTGTCTCATGGCATGTATTTTGGCCTGAAAAATTAATGCTTTGGTTATAGCGCGGTACTGCTTATAGTGCGGATTTTCGCGACTCCCACGACATACGTTATATGCGGTCTACACTATAGTAGGCGTGTGTAGAAGAATCCATTAAATATGGGCTTTGCATGTGTAGCCACCCACACAACAAATCATAATTTTTATCTTGCATCATGTTAAGACTAATTTTTGATGACTCAAACTTCCGATAATTCAAACAAAATTCGTGGCTTCCTGGAGTTTGAATTAATGAGAGTCAACCGCAATAATTATACAGCTTTCTTTTGATATGTCGATCAAACCATCGTATGCGGAATGTCATTTTACGAGAAATGTAGCCGACATCCAAGTTCAATGTTTGTCTTCGCAACGCAGGCCACCACACCTTTTCAAAACGCCGCCTCGTCTTTCTTGTTTTCTTCCTCTTGATGGGAAGAGGATGTAGCAATTAAGGCAAGGAAGCGTAGTGCGGGACGATTACCCACGTGTCGAAACATGAATCGTGCGAGCACGTGCAGTTGGTTGGCGGAGCCCCCAAACGTTGGCTAGGCCACGAACTCAACTCCCTTCGACCGTGCCACGCCACGTTTCACTCCGCACGGTCGTAAAATCCGAGTTAGTATCTGTTACGAAACAATACCGCATTAATAAAACACCGGAAATATCTCACTTGAGGGGCGACAGGATGTCGTTGATGTCTATGTACTCCGCCCCGTTGCCAGATCGTCGCCGGTTCTCCGCGCCGGGCATGCAGTCCGCTCTGGGCGCCGCGTCGGCAGACGACACGGGTGCCAGCGCCACCCGAAACTCCTCTTGCTGCCACAGCAGCTGCATCTGCGGTGCCTCCTCCTCCGTGGTCACCGTGACGACAGACTCCGGCACAATGGCCACGTACGGGGGATACTCTGGGGCTTCGTGGAACTCCATGACAAACTCCTCTGGGGACGGAGAAAGAAGGCAAAGAGAACGGTTACGCGTGCCAAGCGACGCAGGTGCGTTCCTCTCGTACAAATCAACCTCGAAAGCAGTTTTATCGGCTGCGTTGGAGCCGTGGACGGGCGTACTTCGGCACGCCGTAGCCGCGGCAGCGAAGGTTTTCGACCAAGCCGCACCTAGCGCAATCTTCCGCCCTTTGACGGCGCTTCGGTAACGCGTGAACTTCGAGCGTGCACACGCAGTCAAAGCGTGACGGATGCCAACGAGCGTGTGCTCCAGACCAGGCATCCGAAAGATACGCTCTACCTTCCTCGTCCTATCAGAGACTGTAGGTCTCAATGTTTCTCAACAGTGAAACAATCGAGAAAAAAAAAATCTGCCAATCGCATGTTTGTGTACTACGGCCCACCGAAGGTTCCGACATCCCTGGAAGATACAGATAGACTACGACTGCTCCAATTGCTATTACGCCGAGAACTGAAACGGACCGTTTCTCAGCTGCTCCTCCGTGTCACGATCGGAGCAACCCGTGCGGAGCGCACGACGGGACATTGTGGAGACTTACGCTTGATGGGCGTCTTTGGCTCCGACTTGATCGGAGGCGGCTGGGGCTTTCCGCGGTGTTCCGACGCCTGGAATGAAGAACCGGTTGTAAGATCTCGACAAGATTATTCTTACTCATTCATTAATTCATTCAGTTTGCCCCGCAGTGCCAAAAGACTATTGCAGGAAAGCAATAAAGGTACAAATATAGAAACATGCACAAATATACACAGAAACATACAAGCATTAATTAACTCGACTATCAAGGAAAAAGTCAGAACATATGAAATGGAGAGTTAATAACCCTCGTTCTTAAGAAAGTTGTTAACAAGGGTTAGACAATATTCATTCGAAAGCACTAAACAATATTACAGGGTGGACAATACCATTCTACAATTGCACGAGTATCTGAAAGCATCGGTTCTATGGGTGTATACACCCTTTCCGAAATTGAGGGTCAGCTGATGGCTCACTCATACAGCAGTTTAGTTTTTGCCATAATAATGGTGGTAATGAACTTGTATATTATCAGGCGCCGTCACTTTCGCAAGTCAATGGCAGGCGAGGAAGTGTTCACTGTGCAGTTCTTTCTCTATCACTTTCGATGGTGGCAAAGATACCACATGGTTGCGTTCATGAAATTCTACACGCAAAAGGGCTTTAGAGCAGATCGTATGCCGCCCACAAATCGACTGAATCCGAGTTAGAAATGAACGCTTACGAAGCTCTTGTGTTCGATTCCTGCGTCCCGTCGCACTATCTTCTCAAATGTACAGGCCTCGCGTCATCCGCTTGGGAAAATCTTCAACGTCATTCTTCATCAGTCACTAGAAGGCTGCCCCCAGTACAGCACAGATGCCGTTCCTCAGATGATGATAGTGATAAAAGTGGCCAGACTGAATTTTAAAAAGGGTCTATCCTCTCATATTGCTAGTGTGATCCAACCTTTGTGAAATTCGTTATGATCGATACAAATACCCATCTCTGTCTACTCTTGTTTTGTTCAAGTACATTGTTACTGTTGTTACTATTACTATTATTATCATTATAATAATAATAATTTTGTATAGCAAACGTTTGCATTGTACATTGTCAAGCCCACGCAAGCTTCCGAGTCTTAGTACGCAGGGCTTGGCATTCAACAAGCTGCATTTACATAATTCGAAAGCATGACTGCAAGCATGTGAATAATAAAACAAACAAATATGCATCAGTTTCAACCAAAGACATTGTCTGGGAAAATATGGCGGCTTTAATCAGAGGTCTGACTGCGTACAGAACGGGACGAAGAACAAATGAGCAGGGAGAGGCTTACCCCTCGGGAAGAGGAGGAGGCGGCAGCAGGGGCGGCTTCCTTCGACGCCGCCTTCTTCCGCACATACTCATTGAAGTTGCCATCTTCCGACTCGAGCCGCTTTTTGAGTGTGGAGTTCCAGTGGTTTTTAATGGCATTGTCAGTCCTGCGTTACAATGTCGAGGGGCTTGTTACGACCCAGGCTCGTAAACCCCATGTTGGAGATACACCGCGCGTTCGCAACCGTAATGTGCACCTTGAAAAACAGGCTGTCAAGGTAAAGTCATCATTAATTGATTCCTTTTTGCCCGATTTTCTCTTCAACGCCAGATGACCAATACAGCCCAACAACTCAACGACATAACAGTAAAGCCAGCTTTTTGTGGAAGACGTCTTGAGTATGTGAGCACCTCAGTAAACGTCTGCCCTCAAATGAAAGGTCTACAACAACTTTGCTTTATCTATATAGTATTCATCTTTTACAATATCAGCCATTGTCATAGCAAAATTCTGCAATACCAGCTTTCAACTGAAAGCTGGCATTGCAGACCTCACCAGCTTTCAACTGAAAGCGAACTTGAAAGCGGAGCTTTCAACTGAAAGCAGTGGTTCTCAACTGCTGTTTTGGGAACCACTTTTGGATTGATGCATGTGATGGGAGACCCCTTCCACAGGGGAAGAAGGAAGATATAGAATAATTACAATAACAAAAAAAAATTAAAAAAAAAAAAAAAAAAAAAAAAAAAATTTAAATTTTTGCATATTAAGTTTGAAGCTCTGAAACGTGAGAATAATAAATCCTGCTCATTCGGCATAAGTGGTTTGGTCTATCTTAGGTTTGGTCTGCCTTCTTACAACAGGCACCATCATTTAAAAAAAAAAAAGTATATTTAATTGGCTTGATTGACGGTAAAGGGTTCCGGTGAACCCAGGAAGGATTTTAAGGACCCCAAAGGGTCCACAGACCCCTATTAAGGGGGGAGGCTGGTCTTTAACTTTTTGTTTTTTATTTTTCATTGATCCTGCCGAAATTTAGAATACTGATGTATTTCTCAGTGGCGAGTTCAAATATGCAACTAGTTTTCAGATAGCTTTACTAGATCCCGAGTTATTAACAAATTTGTAATTTTCATTAGGTCATCCTTACGGGCCTTTAGCATAAAATTGTTCACAATATATCACAAATTTTTATAGGATTGCATTCACCAAGATATGTTTTGTGCGGTGATGCTATTTTAAGTTTAATCTTATTATATTACATTGGTAAAACACATCTGCAACCAAGTTGCACAAAACGGGAGGTTATATCTTTTTGAGACTAATTAATTAAAATTATTGTACAAGATAAAAAGCAATAAAAATAGCATCACCGCACAAAACATGTCTAGGGGAATGCAATTCTATAAAAATTTCCGATATATTCTGAAGAATTTTACGCGAACGACCCGTAAAGAGGACCTAATTAAAATGACTAATTTATTGATAACTCAGGATGTAGTAAAGCTATTTGAAAACTAATTGCATATTTGAAATCACCACTGAGAAATACATCAGTATAGTAAATTGCAGCACGATAACTGAAAGATAAAAAACTCGAAGTTAAAGACCAGCCTCCCCCCTTAAAGTCCTAATGTTAAAGTCCACCATAAAAAAAAAAATTTTAATTTTTTTTTTACTTACATGCTTACATGACTAAAGTCCTCATGCAGCTAGCCACCTGATGGAACATGCAACATGCATCGTACCACAGCCTCAATCTTGCGACGTTAAAATTCAAAGAGCCTTTCACATGAAAGGTTTTATTATCCCTTCAATGACGCACCGTTAAAACAAATGAATAAGTCCTTTAGAAGAGAACAACAACCTCTTTCTTGTGGGTGCGACGAGACACTAAAATGGGGCACAAAAAAGGCTGCAAAACTTAAAGGAAAAGGCAAGTGATGAATGCCTTTAACAATAAAATGTCAAAGATTTCAATGTTCATTTAATGTTGAATGGTTAGAAGAACACTGAGGTCCTTAAAAAAATAACCTCTTTTTTAAATGTGTGACAACACATGAAAACAAGGCAAAGAAACATCTACAAGACATAAAGCAATGAACCAACAACCGACCTGCCAGGAAGCAGCTTGGCGATCTTGGCCCACTGGTTCCCCCAAAGACGGTGGTAATCAAAGATGACCCGTTCTTCATGCTCCGTCCAGGCGCTTTTCTTGATGGCCGGGTTCAAGTGGTTGTGCCACCTATGGAAAGTATGCGACAACTCGACATTAGACTAAAGGCTTCCTCCTCTGTAAAAGGTCCGAACATGAAAGGCATTGCAGAGATTAGCAGACATGAAGGCGAAGCTCCAACTTGTAGGAAGTAACTGGGTGCCTGCTCCGAATGCTGTCCTTAGAAGGTGTGTTCATTGTAAGACGACTTTGCCAACAACTGAGACTGCCATGAGACGAAATGTTATCCAAAACAAAAAACAAGTCACCGTGCCTGGACGCCGATCAGAAAGATGTAAATAAGTGTGTCTGCTGTGTAAGACCACAAACTAGTGCTAATAATCAGTTTTTCCGGTAGTTTCCTCTGTTCCTCTCGCAAGATCAAACGTTCGCCCAGAAACACGAACAAGAGAGGTCACTTCACAGGTACCGAGCAACTGAATCACCGTCATCATCACCAACCCCCCTCTCACCCTTTAGTAGCAAGAGATATTTCAGAAATACTGATTGCTTCGTTGAACATAAAACATTTTGGCAGCACTCTTCTACTGTACAGTCTGAGGCTACACTAGTCAGCGCTGGTGGCAAGTCTGTGCTCTTAATAAGATACCCAAGACACCCAACTCCAAGTGCGCAACAAGATAATGAAAACAAGAGTCTGAAACCCCACGCTTGGTCGCTCGCCACGGATCTACCTTCGGTTAAAAAGGCACCGCCCTCCCACGAAAATGTGTTTTTAAACAGCATGGATAGAACAGATAAGTCAAAAACTATTCCTCCTCCCCCCTCCCCCCCCCCCTCCCCCCCAAAAAAAACAAAAAAAAAAACATATATATAAAAAATAGAACTGAGAGTAATAATTAGATTGCAAGACTCCTTTTCGCTATCATGGCATGCTTCTATTTCGAGCTTCTCCTTTGGGATGAGGTGCTAAAATGGAAGACCATTTTATAACCTCTCATTTCATAAATGCTGCACCTATATTTTTTTTTTTTTTTTTTTTTTTTTTAACAAAGGTCGAGCGGGTGGGGGGTTAGGTAGGGCATTTAACAAATGATGTTTTTTCGGGAGTTCAGCGTCCCTTTAAGGTTTAATAAGTGGCCCACTGAAACAGGTCCCAATCTGACATCAGTGGTCCAGATTCTTGTGGTTGAGTCGGCACTGACCGTTCCCGACACTGCTTCCCGATTCGACCCTTGAGATGCTTGGCTATCAGCGTCCACTTCTTGGGCCCGTACTTCTGGACGAGCTGAACCACCTTCTCGTCCTCCTGCAGCAACAGCAGACACAAGGGGAAAAGGAATACTTCAGCAATCACAAAACGAATGACACTGTGCAGGATGCCATCCAACTCAATTAATTAGCTAGGCAGATAAGCTCTCAAGGTGAAACATAACAGAAAAGAAGCAATGTTACCTTGGCAACCAAAACTACAAAGTTTCTTAGAAATTCTCACAAATCGCTCAATGCTTGTACCAAAATCCAGACATATGCAACCAACCAAACGACCCAACTAGAAAATTTAAAAAAAAAAAAGAAAAAAAGTAATGCATAATCAGTGAAGTTGGAACAGCAAAGAGTGGGGCAGGCACTTTTTCATATTAGCAGCACCCCCCCCTCCCTGTCCCCCCCCTCCCCTTTTCCCACTGCATGCCACCTTCGCTCCTTTGTTTTTTGAACACTTCCAATACCACTGCTCGTAGCATCTTAAGGATAAAAAAGCTTGCAGTAAAGCCACCTTGCGAAAATACCGTTTTGTCGATCCTGGTGTGTGGATGGGTGTTTGAGGGGGAATTCGGATTAAAGCAATAGAATGTTCACATTGTTGGAAATATAAAGTAAAAATTAGTAGGAAATACTGGAGGCTTATAGTATTTAGTAAGCAACAATTGTTATGAATTCCAAGATAAAAGGCTTCAAATATTCCACCAGAATGTCAATGGTATGTACAATGTTTGTCATTTTTATCTGGCATCAAATGTGTCCAAAGTAGTTTAATTTAAAAGAAAAAAATTGGTCGTATAAAACATTCATTTATAAAAAAAAAAAAAATCGTAAGGATTTTCAGTTTTATTAAATTATAAGAACCTACAGAACTAGGTACAAAACTCAAGCAGCTGAAATGTGGTGTTTCCCTTCGCATTGGTTCACTTAACTTTTGTGGAGAAAAAAAAATTAAAAATTAAGATTTGAAGGGTGGTGTTGCTCAATATGGACATGGTGATCTTCCATTCATTTGTTTGAGACAAATCAAAATACCCACCCAGACTCGAGTGTTTCATTTCAAATAAAATCGCCGATTTATTAATCATAGTCAAGCACTGTTGAAACACTGACGCACCCCAAACCATAAATAAACCTACACCAGGAACAAATCGCTCGCTGCACTTTCCAAAACGCCCCCCACCCCAAAAATCCCTGCGAAACTGTACTTCCACCTCAATCAATGCAGTATTACCCCAACTGTCTGCTGGAAATGGGTGGGCTCTAATCCACCCTACACTATTAACCTAT